GTAGTACAGTGGACATGGTGCCTATCTGAATCCCTTTGTGACCAGGATGTGGTAGCAAAGGGGTCTGTGCCTTCCCGCACTGAGGCAATAGCCCAGTTGCTTATAATCCCCATCCTACAGTGATCACCCCTCCCCCCAGAAAGAAGAGGCGCCACTGCACAGTGAGGACCGACGGGATGGTCGCAGCATTTGGCTGGCGCAGGTCTACTGATGGCTCATCAGTCACTGACCGAACCAAAACTAAACGGAAAGCCGCGGCCTGTAGACAGGGGGATGGAATGGCTATCGCTGAGGAAGCACGGCCAGATCAGCACAACACACAGAAGTAACAGCAGCACTGGTGGCTGTCAGACAAACAGACAAGGAAGGCAAAAGGAAAGTCTGTGTCTTCCCCGATTCGTGGCGCATGTGCAATGGTCATCAAAAAGGAAAGCCACTCACTGGCAGATAAATGGCAAAGATCCCTGGCCATGGGAGGCATGAATGGAAATGGCAAAACAACCTAGCAAACGTGAAGTTGTATGTAGCTCATACAAGCAAGGCAGACAAAACATCTGGAAACAATGAAACAGTGGATAAATCATGTTTAATGAAGACTAGAATATTAAAATTTGCCAGGGAACAAGTTCAGAATAAATCAGCAAGAATGATAGGTTACACATTCAAAATATATTCAAAAAAAATAAGGGGAAATGGAGAACAAAATTAAACCAGGACAAGCCTATGAGAATAACTACTATAAGGAATCTATAGCCAGGCGGTGGTTCACACCTTTAATCCCAGTACTTGGGAGGCAGAGGCAGGCACATAAGAATTATAGTGATTTAAATTTATAAGCTGCTTGCAAAAGACAGGTTGAAATTCAAAGTGAATGTCCTTTGTGATCTAAAAATAAATACACTTTAACCTTGAATTTATATGTAAAGAGGAAGGGGAATACAGGCATATTTATCCACACATACTAAGGTATATTTAGTTTCAAAATTTCAAAAGAATTTTTTAATTGAAAGATAATACTTTTTTTATTGCCAGAAAACATTTTGCTGAGGGCTGGAGAGATGGCTCAGAGGTTAAGAGCGTTGACTGCCCTTCCTAGAGACCTGAGTTCAATTCCCAGCAACCACATGGTGGCTTACAACCATCTGTAATGAGATCTGGTGCCCTCTTCTGGCACGCAGGCAAGCATGCAGACAGAACACTTTATACATAATAAATAAATCTTTTTTAAAAATGTCCTAGGAAAGATATAACCTGCCAAAAAAGGAACTCCCAGCGTTAGGGTTAGGGCAGGATTTTGCTTTTATCTTTCCAGGAGAATATAAGCATCCAACTAAGGAATCTGGAAACCACTGGCAAGTGAAACATCTGAAGAAAAAGGATGGATCATCAAGAGAAAATGCCCCAAGGAAAAGAGTAAATTGGCCTAATGGTCTCGCCCACCTCCAGCAGGGTAGAAGGGCCTAAATCTCCCCAAATGCTTGTTTCTGCTGCACTCTACAGACATAAGTGGCAAATGGTCCTTGTGGTCCCAATTCAATTAAAAATTAGAGCTGACTTTGGGGTTGGAGTGTGGCTCTCTCCTTCTCTAAATACAAGCATGCTTGTTAAAGGAAAACCCAAAATCTCTGTCTCATCAGAAAAAACCACCAGGTATGGGACAGAGGAAAACAAAAAAGAAGGGACACTATTCTATTGCCACCAATCTCATAATCTTTTGGGTTTCATTTGACTCTCTGAAACTTTCCTTAAGGCATAAATATTGTCTCAAAAGTCTATGATTATTATGTATATTTATAAACTTTCTGTCGTGATATTAGTGGTTATACAGAGTATTAACTAATTCTAGAAATAAGCTTCATCTAGCTTCCTGTATGTGTTTTCAGGTTTGAGTCTGAAGCAGGTGACTCGGAACTAAGTTTGTGTATCCTCGATATGCTTAATAGATCATGGTCCTCAAACCTTTTGGAGATCTGCTAAATATGGCATTTAAAACATTTAAGTTTTCCACAACAAACCATGACCATTCCTAACAGTAACCTTTAAGGTCTCCAATAAGATGATGGGGCCTCCAACAATGAATCCACCTGGGTTGTGGTAATGCCAGTAAATGGACAAACACCACCCCAAGATCAGATTTGGACTACAAACTACTCAAGACATTCAGATCACTGAGTTCATATGAGATGGACACAAACATTGTACAGAGCTTTGAACTCAGAAATACTTAATCCTAAGACTGCCAAATACAACCAAGCTGGACACTGTGGAAAGCTTGGCAGAAATAGCTTCATTTTTGTAGTTTCACTGTGTTAGAGTCAAAACCTTCCCTTTAGCCGGGCAGTGGTGGCGCACACCTTTAATCCCAGCACTCAGGAGGCAGAGCCAGGAGGATCTCTGTGAGTTCGAGGCCAGCCTGGGCTACAGAGTGAGTTCTAGGAAAGGCGCAAAACTACACAGAGAAACCCTGTCTCGAAAAGCAAAAAAAAAACAAAAAACAAAAACAAAAAAAACCAAAAAACCTTCCCTTTTTATTTAGACAAAAAGGGGGAAATGTTTCAGGATATTTGATCACACTGTGAACTCTGAGATTGCATTATTTACTGGAAAAACCTGTTTCTAGCTGTGGTGTGGCTCAGCCCTAGCACACACCTTTAACCCAAGAGCTTTCTGCTTGAATATTGTAAACAGGATTAAATAAAGTCAACCACAGGTCAAGAGGTGGGGCAGGCAACCAGTTGACCGGAGGTGAGCACAAGATTATTAAGAAAAAACCAGAGAGAGTAAGAGGGAGTCAGGAGAAAGGAGAGAGACACAGGAGAGAGGGACACCTTGTTGGAGGAGTTTTGTTTGAGACGGTGTGGGAGAAAGGTCCTTTTTGGGGGGATGTTGATGAAGGAGGAAGGTCAGCTGGGTGCTTGCTCTGCCTCTCTGAGCTAGCAGGCTTTCACCCCAGCATTTGGCTCCAGAGTCTTTATTGGTAAAATCAAACGATTGAGATTTTGTTAAGAACAACACACTCAAAGGGCGGCGGCTGCGCACACCTTTAATCCCAGCACTTGGGAGGCAGAGCCAGGTGGATCTCTGTGAGTTCGAGGCCAGCCTGGGCTACAAAGTGAGATCTAGGACAGGCACCAAAACTACACGGAGAAACCCCGTCTCGAAAAACAGAAAAACAAACAAACAAACAAAAAAACCCACAACGCACACTCCCTATGAGCCTATGGGGGCCAGTTACATTCAAACCACCACAGGGCCTTTCTCCAGCCAGGACTTCCCTCATATTGTCGCCCAGGTCTAGTTAAGCAGGGTCAGGCCTCAGCGCCTTCCGCTCAGGCACTCTTGCTCGCCCATAAGCAGCTGCCAGCCTGGTCTTCACGACAAATTCTTTGTCTTCCTGGGAGCTCTGCCCCTTGATGCAGACCTGAACAACAGTGTCTTCTCGGTGTGGGTGTGTGAGAACTGGGTCAGTCAGTGTAAAGTGCTCAATACTTGTATTTTCTGCCTCATGGTGCTGACTAAAACCTGAAATTGCAGGAGTGGATCAGCCAGAACCCTTGGCTTTTTCCCCTTGTTTGAAAAGCAATGCTGTCACTCTTTGGTCATGGAATCCTCTGTCTGCCTTACAGTTCCCTGATGAGACTGAGGACTGTCCATTTGATTTCTAGTTTGCCAAGAGTTTGTTGCTGTTGTTTGAGACAGGGTTTCACTGTATAGCCGTGGCTGTTCTGGAACTCGCTCTGTAGACCAGGCTGGCCTCGAACTCACAGAGATCTGCCTGCCTCTGCCTCCCGGGTGCTGGGATTAAAGGTGTGCACCACCACCACCTGACAAAAATTTTTATCTTAATAGGATGTTCAGGCTTTTTTTTTTTTCACATTCTGCATCTATTGAAGTAATCAAATTATTCTTCTCCTGTAATCTTTAACATTTTTTTAGTTTTTATTTATTTTGTGTGCATGAGTGCATATGTATGCATGTGTGTGCATGTGTATGCATGTGTGTGCATGTGTATGCATGTGTATGCATACACACGGAGGTGCAGCATGTGGAGGTCAGAGGACAACTTGTCAAAGTCTGTTTTCTCCTTCCACCTTAAGGATCCCTGGGCGAATCAGGTTGTACGCTTTGGTGACAAGTGCCTCTGCATGCTGAGCCATCTTGCTGGCCCCCTCCTAGAATCTCTGTTTTAAAAGACGCATTCGTGGGAGCTGGAGAGATGGCTCAGAAGTTAAGAGCACTGGCTGCTCTTCCAGAGGTTCTGAGTTTGATTCCCAGCAACCACATGGTGGCTCACAACCATCTGTAATGAGATCTAGTGTCCTCTTGTGGCCTGCAGGCATGCATGCAGGCAGGACACTGTATACATAAAAAAAAAAAAAAAAAAAAAAAAAAACCACTTTAAAAAAAAAGATGCATTCGTTTTGATTTTCTGTATATAGGTGTTTGGCCTGCATATGTGTTTGTGTACCACATGCGCACCTGATGCCTGCAGAGGCCAGAAGATGGCATTGGATCTCCTGGAACTGGGATTACAATTGACTGTGAGCCACAGTGCGTGTGCGAGTACTCAAACCCGGGTCCTCTGCAAGAGCAGTCAGTTCTCTTAACCGCTGAGCCATCTCCAGCCCCTCCTAAAATCTTACTAAATTATACTTGTCTTCACACTAATGAATCAGACTTGTAAAGCGAGTGACTGTCCTGTAGTGGTCACAGCTGCCTGCACTAAGATGGGGGGCAGAGCAAAGGTAGAGGGCGTTCCAAGAGCGCGGCAAGCATCTTACTGACCACCATCTTCCCGATCCAGGACCCACACTTTAAAGCACCAGGTTGCTCATCCCCTCACACACAAGCACACACACGCTCACGCACACACATGCACACACACACACACACACACACACACACACACACACACACACACACACCCATCGCTGTACCAGCTATCAAGTCTGTAGGTTTAATGGCGTTGTTTGAGTGTGGCAGGGAGGCTGGGTACTCACCGGAGGCCTGCACTGCCTCAGTCTGAGGAGCTGTCCTCTGGCCACGCTCATGCCTTGATAGAACACCTTCAGAGCTCTGGCCAGCTGTGCGTCACAGCTGGCTTGCTGAGCACACATTTGTGTAGCCTCTCTGGCTGCAGGCAGCTGTGCCCTCACCCCAGCTCTCTTTGAATCATCTGGCCTCTGGGCTAGGGCACAAAAAAAAAGTATTTTTCGCCGGGCGGTGGTGGCGCACGCCTTTAATTCCAGCACTCGGGAGGCAGAGCCAGGCGGATCTCTGTGAGTTCGAGGCCAGCCTGGACTACCAAGTGAGTTCCAGGACAGGCGCAAAGCTACACAGAGAAACCCTGTCTCGAAAAACCAAAAAAAAAAAAAAAAAAAAAAGTATTTTTCATCTATATCCAAGTATTTCTGTGTCTATTTATTTGGTTTTTCAAGACATGGTTTCTCTGTGTAGTTCCAGCTGTCCTGAAACTCACTCAAACGTAGAGATCCACCTATCTTGCCTCTGCCTCCCAAGTGCTAGATTAAAGGTGTGTGCCACCAGGCCCGGCTTTGATGACATTTTATATCTTCATATCAGCATATTGCTTTGGACCCACTCAAAGAAATCTTATAGGGCAAAAGGAAAAAAAGGGTTCTGGTTTTTTGTTTATGGTGTAAGATATGAATTAACTCATTATGATTTCCTGTTCTTCTGGAGCTGGAGGCATTGCTCAGTAGTTAAGAGCACTGGCTACTCTTCCAGAGGACCCAGGTTCGATTCCAAGTACCCACATGGCAGCTCACAACTGTCTGTAGCTCCAGTTCCCGGGGAACTATCTGATGCCCTCTCCTGGCCTCTGGACATACACTCAGGTACACATACACACACATAAAAATAAATAAATGTTTGGTTTTTTTATTAATTCCTATTCTAGACAAATAGCACATCCCAAACATGGGAGTTGGGAATGAGATGACCACTCACCATAGTGGTACCGTCTCTCACCCTGTTGAGCAGAACCAGTTTTTTCCAGTGATGCCTTGAGAGACACGTTTTCTTCTCTGAGGGCTCTGTTAACATCTCTGAGCAGCTCGGTCTCCTGCTCTAACTTGAGCAGCGTCTGATAAATTTCTGGCACCTGGTTTGACATGATCTACAGAAGACATGTCAGCTCAGCTTTTGTGGAATTACCTGCATAGCATTCCAGGCTCGTGGTTCATACTATGTCATGTAAACAAGGATGGAATGGGGAGGCAGGGAGAGGTTTAAAACCCTCAGGACACACAGAAAGGCCCAAAAAACACTTTCATTGAAGGGATGATTCTTAAGGGGCTGTCACCAAGATTGTTCCGCCCCCTTGTGATCTGCCGCATGTACACACCTGGTTCACATTCTTCACACTGGACAATTTCTTGGTATCTACCATGACGTGGCCTTCACCTGGGAGCAGGATGTCCAGTTGAGAGACGCCTAACTCGGCACAGCCTTCTGCCAGGTGGGAAAGACCAGAAATGAAAGAATTCTCAGCTAGAGACCCCACTGAGCTGAGGTGAACCCGGGGCCTGGCAGATGATGCTCACCCACTGCTTCACAGCCCGTGGGCCTCCCTCTGTTCCCTCTGCAGCATTAGACCTGGTTGGACAGCACACTGTAGGGAAGAAGGAGCAAACGAAGTACCTTGGAGGCCCCACAAATCAACGATAAGCGCATTCGTCAGTAAGTAATCCAGAAACTCTCGAGATGCGCTCAAGGCTACGATGTGGACTGTCTCTTCAATTCGGGGATTCACACTTTTTGTCCACACAGGCTTGGTATACAGAGTGTTTGGGAGATCATAAATTTTGTACCTGAAGCAAGAATATAAAACATAATTGACAACTAGAAGGGGCATATCTGAGGAAAATAATCAGATGAGCCACAGAACTACAGTGCAGTTAGATAGAAGCTGCCCTGTAATTGAGTCCTGGGGCTTCTGCCTCCAACGCTGTTGTTCAGCATGAACATCATTACCATAGAGCTGGGAAGTCCACAGGGAAGAGGGGTTTGAATCACTGTTTAGATTCTCTTTGGATGCTGTAAAGTGTGAAGTTGCCTTGGAAGGTGTTAGGTTTTTACTTTTTCTTTGGTTTTTGAGACAGGGTTTCTCTGTGTAATAGCCCTGGCTGTCCTGGAACTCACTCTGTAGCCCAGGCTGGCCTCGAACTCACAGAGGTCCACCTGCCTCTGCCTCCTGAGTGCTGGGATTAAAGGCGTGCGCCACCACCGCCCGGCTTCATTTTCCACTTCTTAAAGCATCCCTTTCGTTACCTTCATCCTTTGAACTTAATGAATTTAACCTTTCTGGTTGTGTCTGCACTATCAGAATACATTACTTAAATCACAGTTTTGGTGGATATTTTTTGTGACAATTAAAATGTCTCATCCTGCTGCTTTAATCATGTAAGACACTCAGCAGTCATCCTAGTAATGTGGAGGGCCATGTGGCTTCTCTACCTGATGGAGAAAGTAACCATTTTGCAGTTGAGCAAAGAGAAACTCTTAAGAGAATTTTATGATAAACTCATCTTGTAAAAGAAATAAGGCCCCTCCCACCAGGAGCCGCATCGGTAGTGTGTGCAAGTTTTGTGCAGTGCAGACCCATACCCCATCTGAATGCCCCGGTTTGCATCTTCCTTTAGCCATTTGACACCAAGACACCCGACGATGTGAATCTGGAAGTCAATCCTCTTGCCCAGTAGCTCCAGTGGGTCAATAACCATGTCCTCTTCACTGTGTGCCCTATAGACAAGAGTTGAACATCAGTCTCTGGATTAGGCTGGACCCAGGCTAGTTAGCCCTCAAATGTCATGGGAATGAAAGAGTCCTTAAGAGATAGACAGAGATGGATGATTGCCCTGAAGGAGGGGTGGGTGGTAATATCTGCTGTAGAATACATTCACTGGAGAGCCGGTTCTGCATGGTGCTTCTGGGAGAAATATCATCTCTAAGAGCTCACAGCCCAGAACAGAGTACAGACATCTTCATGCAGTGAATGTATGTGGGTACGGTACTAAACCCACATGGAAGACAGGTTGGTCCCACTGGGGAGGAGGAAAGACCTCAGATGCTGCAGCCTAATTTGTCATCTACCTTGGTGAGTCATTCCTAGTCCAGAGTCAACGTGATCCCTCCAGCCTCAGAAATCGATTGGGACAGCTTTCTAACTGGGGACCTCTCTTATGTCAACCATGTCCACAAAGTCTGAAACTTACACACAGAATGCCATGTTGTTAATTTTCAAAGTGACCATTGGGCAGCCTCGGTAGACAGTGTAGACAGGTGACTAGCTAGTGGCCTGAAGTCCCTATAGACACTGTTTTTGACCTTTTGGACCCAGAACTCTGAGGTTCTCCTACTCCCTTTTCAAGTGAGTTTCTTCTTCATGAAGACAAAACGTCACACTGGATGCTTGTACCCAGCCCAGGACTCCTGCCAGCCTCTGTGCTTAGGACTGCTAAAATACTTTTATATAAACATCCTAAGCCTAAAACAAAAAATAATAAAACAGGAGTTCAGAGACAGCACAGAAGGAGTCCAGACACCTAGCCCTCCCCTCAAGCCAAGGAGCAAAGTTATGGCCTCTGCCAAGAACGGAGATGTGTGAGCAGAAACCAACTTTCTGCTCTGGCTCTGATGCCTGCCACGTGTGGCAAGTGGAGTGCCAGGAGCAGGCTGTGGTGAGCATGGCCACAGCACAGGCTTCTTTCCTGGGTGGCCCCTCATGGAACCAACCCAGGGCTTTGGGTCATAGTTCAGCGTTCCTCACTCCATCTGCTGCTTTGTGGGATGTCCTCCTCATTCCTTGGTTCCCCGGGGCAATGCTGGGCTGTCTCTAATGCTGGACATTTGACAAGAATCATATTCAACGAGGCCAAATCATAAATGAGCTCATTTACTTCTCATGGATAACCCCTTAAGGGACCAAGTTGACCTCCCTCTCCTTCATGAGCACTCGGGCTCCTTCAAACCTTCTGGGAAGGGCCTGAGACTCACCATCCCTCTGGGGAGCAGGGTGTGATGCGGATGTGCAGCACTGACTCCTGCAGCCCGTCACAGTTCAGAACCTCCACCTGCTCCTCCAGCATCATGCAGTAAGCCAGGGACTGCAGCCAGATGTGTGCCGAGCCCAAGTGGACAACCTCCACAGGGTCCCAGAAAGGGTCGTCTTCCTGAGCCACCTGGCTGGCTTCCCTCTCTAGAAAGCGCTGATAAAGTTCCTCCATCAGGAATTTCCGATTGATAAACTTGGCCTTTGACCAAATCCATACCTGGGGAGGCAAAGGGGGGTACCCAGCATCTCAGCTACTTTTCTGTTTCTGGGAAGAGACACCATGACCGTGGCGACTTGTAAAAGAACATATTCAACTGGGGGCTTGCTTACAATGTCAGAGGGTTGGTCCATGATCATCATGGAGGGGAGGTTGGCAGCAGGGAGGTAGGCATGGCCCTGGAGCAGTAGCTGGGAGCTTTACATCCTGATTCACACGTTGGAGGCAGAGACAGACAGACAGACACAGACTGGGCCTGACATGAACGCCTGGTAACATACCTCCTCCAACAAGGAGACACCTAATACTTCCCAAAACAGTTCCACCAACTGGAATCTAAACATGCAAATATATGAGCCTCGAGGGGCCATTATTTATTCAAATCACCAGACCATGTATTGTTTCATTTGCTGCTTAAACAAACTAGCTCTCTTTTTTCCAGTCTGTTCCTCCTCATGGGTGGAGTTTGGGGAAGACCACATACTACTCTCATCAAACTTAACTTTTTAAGGTCCTTCCAGACACCATATTTAAAGTGATGGAAATGGAGCCTAAGAGAAAATGTTTGGCTGATTAAAGACAGAGAGGCCATGAACCATGGTACATTGGTGGTGTCTAGGAGTTGGAAAAAGCAAGGAAATACACTTAACCACTGATTTTCCACAGAACAACATCACCCAGCAAGACCTGTGTGGGACTAACAGCCTACAGAGAGCTAAGGTTATGACATTGGGTCGTTTAACGAGTGACGGTTTGTTATAGACAACAGACGATCAATACAGAAAAGCCAAGGGGCTCCACAGCAGATGCACAGCCATGTGCTGGGGGGACAACCCCTTCCGCCTAAGCACACAGGTACGTTAGCTCGTTTCTCAGAAGCCCACAAAGGGCTTCCACTCTTGTTCGGTGAGAAACAGGTCCAGGACAGGAGTGGCTGTCCTCTCACTGGGCAAGGGCAGGACCTCTTCTAACACCTGCTATGGAGAGAAACTTAAGCTTCAATCTATGGAAATCCAGCTGGAAATCTGACTGAAAATGTCCCATCAGAAGTGTTATGGCGGGCTGGAGTGATGGCTCAGCGGTTAAGAGCACTGGCTGCTCTTCCAAAGGTCCTGGGTTCAATTCCCAGCAACCACATGGTGGCTCACAACCATCTGTAATGAGATCTGGCGCCCTCTTCTGGCATGCAGACAGAACACTGTAGACATAATAAATAAATGAATCTTTTTTAAAAAAAAGTGTTATGGTGTCAAACCAACAAGCCCTTCTCTGGGCAACTAAAATAAAAACAGAAGCCAATGGGTAAGGTCTTGTCCCCAGGAATGTCACCTTCAGTGGGACAGTTGCAGGATAAACACAGATTTTTCTGTCTCTCTGGCCTCTAGGCATGTAAGGAAGCACCATCCAGAGATGTATGTTTCTGTCTTACGCACATAGAGAGACAAAGTCACCTTTTCCATCTGGGGAAACTTCCAGGTGGTTTTGTTTGTTTGTTTTTGTTTTTTGAGACAGGTCTCTCTCTGTATTCCTGCTAGCTGTCCTGGAACTCACTATACAGATCAGGCTAGGCTCAGGGATCCACCTGCCTCTGCCTACGGAGTGATGGGATTAAAGGTGTGCACCACCACCTTGGATCTCTGAGCTGGAGGCCAGCCTGGTCTACAGGCAGGGCTACACAGAGAAACACTGTCTCAAAAAAAAAAAAAAAAAAAAAAAAAAGAATCAGGTTGTAGGCAGGTCTGTAGAGCATTTCTTCATTAGTGATTGATACAGGAGAACAGAGAGCAGCATGGTTGGAGGGCCCCCGTGGGGTGGTGGTCCCGTGTTCTCCAAGAAAGCAGGCTGAGTGGACCAGGAGGAGCAAGCCAGGAAGAGCTCCCCTCCATGGCCTCCAGGTTCTTCCTGCCCTCACTGCTTTCAGTGAGAAACCGTTTCCTCCCCAAGCCGCCTTTGGTGATGGTGTCTCACCACGGCAGGAGTAACCCAACTAAGCGCACAGTCACTAGAAAAGGTCCTAGGAACTGGCACTATGAAAGACCAGGACCCACAACAAAGGGTGCCCAGACTCAGCTCCTACTCAGACAACATCCGGGTTTTTGTCTAGGTCTCCTGGATGCAGCTGACCAAAATCCCGTGGACTTTGGAAGCTTTCCAAGGAGACTCCTGCCTGCCCACTGATGGGGTCTTACCTCGTGAGTCCTCGGCTTGGTCACCTTCACCATGACCTCTTTCTGGAGGTCGTAGCCCCTGGAATCTGACGATGCCAAATTCTTCACCTTCAATTCCATTTTAAGCCCCTGGGAAAGAAGCATTTCACCAAACAACCCCTAGCTCATATTCCTTTTGCTTTCTTCCCATTCTGCCCAGCCTCGGGCTCTGTAAAAGAACACAGCCCGGCTCTTCTTGCTCCTCGGAGTTCCTGCCAAGCCAAATAGCCAAGCGCCAGCATTTCCCAGTGGGATCCTGGAACTAACACTTGTACTTCCTAAGTCGGTTAATTCCGTTTCAAGGCTCCTGCTGACTGGGATCCTGAGTCACCAGGAGCTAACCTCAGTCTAGGTCCCCTCTGTGGCATATCAGCCACTGAGGTGCTGGAGAGGTGAGGGGGACATCGGAGGTGGTCAATTACGGTCCGGAAGGCCAGTGGCTCTGATAAGTAGGGCAGATGCTCAGCTGGCTGGGAAGGCCTGAGGATTAGTCTAATTCTGTCACTAGCTCTCAGTGCCATGGTGGGAAAAGCCCCATCCTTCCCTAGACCTCAGGCCTTTGGGGACCTGACCCATGTGGGGTGAAAGGTCACCTTCTCTAGCTCCTCACTCATCTGGTTTGCTTCCACAACCAGCGGCATGAGTTTGATGTAGTCCTGGAACACAGCTAAGACACTGGGCTCGGCTTGGCCATCTCCAGGGCTCCCAGTACCTAAAGAGAGTCACGGAGGAAGTGAGTCTGTTGCTTGTTCTGATACTTTCAGCTTTCGCAAGACACACACTCAGATGTTCACTCAGAGTTGCTCATCACCGCCTCGAAATCTTGGCTCTCCTAGTTCTTGATTTCGAGGCCCTCAGTCCAGTGTGGTTCTGGACTGTCCGGGAGGAGGGTCAAAGGGAGTAGAAGCGAATGGGCCAGGGGAGGGGCTAGGGTTTGGCGCTGAATCCTCGGTGGTGCAGCAAGTAGTCTTTTCTTCCTTCAGTCGTGTCTGGGTGCTATGGAGGAAGGGTCATAGCGACTGTGGGAGTCCCCAATCCCCTTTCCAGACTTGGAGGAGTACTGCCTTGTGTGAGGACCTCTCTGCTCTTTAGAGACTCCCTGCCCATGGGTCACATGCTTACCGATGCCTCAGAACGTCCCACTAGGCTGCTTTGAGAACCCGCCATCATCACTGGGGCCTGGGTGCTTCGGCCCAGGGCCCGAGGTTTGATGAACTTCCTGTCATCACTGTCCCTGTGCTGGGAAGGCATTCTACACAATCAGGTATGAAGAACTCAATGAAAAGGTGGGTTATTTGCTTATGATTTTGTGTGTGTGTGTGTGTGTGTGTGTGTGTGTGTGTGTGTGCAGGCGTGCAAAGAAAGTGACCAAAGGAGGGTGTCAAGTGTCTTCCTCTATCATTTTCTTCCTTATCCCCCTAGGCAGCATCTCTCCATGAACCTAGACAAGCAGCCACCAAGCCCCAGACAACCTTCTTGTCTCTGTCCCGCCTGAGACAACACCCAGCTCTTTACACAGATAATGATATAAACACATGTCCTCACAGCTATGAAGGTAGCATTCTTAACCACTGGGCCATCTTGCTACCCCTGGCCTTGGATTTATATCAACAACTTCAGCAGAATGTGGATGTGGTCGCAAACATCTGTACTCCCGAGACTCAGCAGGCTGAGGCAGGTTAACAAACTGATACCAGCCTGGGCTACATAGTGAGTTTTGAGCGAGCCTTGGGTATCTAGTGAGATCTGAAAAACCAAAGCAGAGCTACGTATGGTAGCTCATACCTGTAATCTCAGCATCCCACTGCTCCTCACCTGTGGCCTTATTTTTTTTTTTTTTTTTTTTTTTTTTTTTTTTTTTTTTGGTTTTTCGAGACAGGGTTTCTCTGTGTAGCTTTGCGCCTTTCCTGGAACTCACTTGGTAGTCCAGGCTGGCCTCGAACTCACAGAGATCCACCTGGCTCTGCCTCCCAAGTGCTGGGATTAAAGGCGTGCGCCACCACCGCCCGGCTACCTGTGGCCTTATTAAGGCAAACAGAGAGTAGATACCTCCCCTGAGAAGCCAACACACCACAAAGACCTCAGTAGGGTCCAGCCAACCCTGTGCACATGACTTGGGGCTGAGGGAGGAGGTGTGGGAAGGTGTTAAGGAGCCTCCACCTGAGGAGTAAGGGGAGGTGGATGGGCAGAGGGGGAGCCTCTAGGAACCTGTGAGGAATCCTAGATAGTGCGGGGGTGGGGTGGGTTGAGGGGCAAAGGAGTATCTTCCACTCAGAAACCTAGAGCTGCAACTTCTTCCAGACCAAGGCCTGGACCTGTAGAGCCAGCCTCCCTCACCCTCTCACCCCACCCCCACCCCCAAGGCCTTTATCTAACACATCCATCTTCTCTCAGCATTCTGGCCTCCACTTGCTGTGTGTAACACTCTGCCACACCAAGCTTCATACCGTGGACGATCTTCACCCTCATCCCTAGGGATGAGGCCAGTGAGTTCAACACATCTTTGACATGTATTCGGTTTTCTCTATTTCTGTTCCTCTATTTCTATTTGGGGGCTGAGGATGTAGCTCAGTGGAGAACTTGTCTAGCATGCAAGAACACGAAGCCTTGGGTTTTATTCCCAGCATGCACTGAGAGGGGGAGGGGAAGAGGAAGAAGAGGAGGAGGAGGAGGAGGAGGAGGAGGAGGAGGAGGAGGAGGAAGAAAAAGAGGAGGGAAAGAGACCTCACAATTTAACTTTCCGCATACTGTACTCTGACTCCATGAAGAGTTTTATCTTTTCACAGGAAGTGCCCGAAGGCGGGTCCAGGACCACTTACCAAGCATGTCCACACTCACTCCCTCAGCGGCTGCCCGCTCCAGCTGGAAAAAGTCGTAGTCGAATCTGCTCCAATCTTCACCACCTCGCTCGGAGGGAAACCCGATGTAGAGGAAGGCACTGTTGGATCCCAAGATGATGCGGTCCTGGGAGGGAGAGCGTAGAGAGGAAAGGCCTGGCCTGCTCCAGGGGAGCTGAGAAAGCGCTTGTCTCCATGACTACCCAGGCTCAGCCCTCTTCCAGGGTGTGGAACCACTAAGGTCCGAGCCTCAGAAGCAAAGCACAGGGCTTCTGTGGAGTGCCCTGGGGTCTGATTCAGATTAGGATTTCAGAAGTCCTCTGGGAAAGCAGAAGGGTTAAGCGCAGACGTTATGTGGGGGCTTTTTTTTCCAGGCTGGCCTCGAACTCACAGTCATCTGCCTGCCTCTGCCTCCTGAGTGCTGGGATTAAAGGCGTGCACCACCACCGCCCGGCATGGAGGCGGCAAGGAGGCTTTTCGGTGAGGGAGACCACTCTGCTGCTGGTCCACTAAACGGAATCTTTGGGATGGGGCGTGTGCTGGACGTGAAGCTAAGGAGGGCTCACCTAGTGCTTCTAAAAGGGGAGTGGCTGAGCCACCTGCCTGTCTTAGAGGCTGCAGCTTCTCTGTATAGTGATCAGTGAAGGGAGGAGGCTTCAGGGTAGCCAGTAGAGACGCTGTGTTGGTAGAGACTCCAAGGTGGTGGGCAGAATACAGAGGGACTGGTGTAAGCAGCTAATTAATTCATCACTCCCCACGGCAGGCTCTCTTAAGCCTCAGATGTCACAAAATGTGAGCGCCCAGAAGGGTCTTGAAGAGTATCCATTTCCACCTTCCTTGTGTTATGAGTGATGTTCCTGAGACACAGGAGGTTAGGAGCAGCAGGTCTGTGATCCCAGCCTATGCAGTCTGGCAGAGGTAGGACGCTCCAGACCTGGACAGTCCCTCTCTGTGTGACAGGAGACATTTCACAAGAAAGTCCCATCCCTGCCCACCCCCCACCCCTGCCACCATCTCGAGGGCAGCACGGAGGCACTTCTGTGGCTGGGCAAGGAACGTACCAGATGCTGCAGCTTTGTCCTGTTGGTGACAGGTACCCCATTAACAACAACCTTGCACTTGCCGTGTGGAGCGACTGTCACTTTACCATCCAGGTTCACGAAGGAAGCATGTTTATCTGAAATCCTAAGAAGACAGGAATTTGTGGGGGTCACCCAGGAGAATATGATTTCACGGGTGGTCACGTTGCAAAATGAGATCCATAGGTAGGATCAATGGGGAAGCTGCCACTGTCCCTCACCCCACACAGGACTGTGGTTCATAGGCTATCGGAGGCTGCAGGGCCCGGCCCTGGAGGGTGCCGGGAGATGGAAGACAGCAAAGATGCCATTCGAGCCACAGAACAAACCCTGGCTGAGGACCTGCAGCTGCCAGGAACCACCAGACACCGAGACCATCACAAGTCCTTGAAAGCTACAAGCGAGCCACGGAGAAGTGAAAACATGTCTCAGTAGCCAAGACTGTATGTGTGTCCATCAGAAGGCAGTAAAGAAATATGGTGTATGTTCACCAGGGGAAACTATTTGGCCAGAAAGAAAGAATGGGTTCCCATGATGTCAGCAACATGGGTGCAGCTGGAGGGCATTATGAAATCAACCAGGTACAGAAAGACAAATAACCACATGTTCTCACCCATTTGTGGAGGTCAAAACACTGGTCTCAAAGAAGTAAAGAATAGAAGAGAGGCTGCCATAGCCTGGGGTGAGGTTGGGGGTTGGGGGGATAGTTAATGGCCACAAGGGTGGAGCATCTGGTGCTCTACAACAGAAGCTTATGATGCTAAAAGTCATTAACTGAGTGTTTTAAAATCCCTAGTACATCTGATCACTAACCATCGTATGTGTGTTCTGAAAATCACTCTACAGAACACAAATACACATACCTATGGTGCCAATTAAAACGTATATATGTAATCAAAATTTTTTTTTTGTTTTTTGAGACAAGATTTCTCTATGTAGCACTGGCTGTCCTGGAACTTGCAATGGAGACCAGCCTGCCCTTGAACTCATAGAGATCCTCCTGCCTCTGCCTCCCAAGTGCTGGGATTAAAGGCATGCACCACCAGGTGTGGCTTAAAATTAATTTCAAAAGCTGCTGCAGTAAGGGTTCCAAACACCTAAGGATGCAGCCACCCGAAGGTGAATTGTAAAAGACCCTCCACGATGTGCTCGGCCTTTCATCTCCCCTTATTTTTTGCAGGGTCACCTTACTTCTGCTTGTGGAGTTCTGTCTTACAGGCTTTAACCACTGGCCTCCCTTTTCCCCCAAGATGAGCGGAAGGAAACAGGAGGTGTGCACCACACCGGACTTCAGCTAGCACTCTTGCATGAGCATTGCAGGAGTTGCTGAGGGAGGTCTGGGAACTTTTTAATATTGCCCATCTAGTAGGACTGACAGCCTGGCTTACCTATGACCGGATGACTTTCCAGAATCTTCTCCAGTGAAGCATGCTGGCACAAGCCTGACAACCCAGCACTCAGAGGAGGAGGCAGGGGCATTTTGTGTTTGAGGCCAACCAGGGCTAGCTACATAGTGAGATTCTGTCTCAAAAACAAACAAACAAACCTAAAGCCAAACAAGACAGATCTCTGGGCTGAGAAGTCCTGGTCCTCTAGTTCAGGACATAGGTGCTGTTCTTACCCCAGGCCTTGAAGACGAATAGCATTTGAAGCTGCCCGACCAACATCACAGGAACCTGGAAAGAGTTGGGACAGTTTATCTTCAAATCATCAGCACTTGGCCTTCATGAGGTAATGTTTGATAGTTTGAAAGTGGCATTTTTTTTCTTCAGTAAGAGCATGCAAAGAAGTTTTGTTTTTGTTGTTGCTGTTGTTTGTTTGTTTTTCCTTTCCCCCAATTGGAGCTGTCGATCACAACAGCACCCGGATATGACCTTGCTTTACGGATAACTGTTTTACTTTCTGCTCTGTTTGTCTTGGGATCCCCAACTTGGTGAAAATGCCACCTTCTTCATGGGCCTTCGTCCTCAGTGACCCACTGAAGCTGGGACAGCAGAGGCTCTTCGAAGCTCCGTTTCTGTGGTGGCAGGCCCCTTGGGGTGCACCATATCCCCTGCAGCTCCTGGCTGTCCTGCCACCATCCTGCACATGGCTTAGGCGTGCAGAGTGGTCAGAGTGGAGAGGAGGGATCAGGCCAGCTCTGGGCGTGGAATGCAACCCACTCAGTAGCACACATATCGGAGAGACATTCCAAAGGCTGCCACCTCGGCAGAAACCACTAGACAAATGTTAGGTGACCACGTGCGGGGGATGGATACATGCAGTGTATTTGATATGTATATGATAGAGACTATTTACCTTAGCAAGGAAAGAAATTCCAAGCTACGGTACACCTTGAATGAGTTTAATGATACTCAGTGAACTGAGCAGACACAAAGGACAAGCACGGTGTGATCTCACTGCTATGAGGCGCCATGCGTGGAGAAATCCAGACACAGAAAGAAGAATGGGGGTCACCCAGGACTCAGGGAGGGGAGTGGGGAGGTGCCTCTTAATGGGTACAGAGTTTCAGTTTGAGGTGATGGTGGAAAGTTCTGGAAGTAGGTGTGGTTATGGTTTAGTGCCTCTGCACTGTGCTCTCGAGAGTGGTTAAAAAAGTGAACTTACGTTGTATGTTTTGTAATATAATATTTTTAAAAAATCAAAAAAGGAAAGGGAGAGGGAGGGAGGGAGCAAGGGAAGGGGTGAGGGAGAAGGGGAGGAAGAGAGGGAGGAAGGACATGGAATCAGAGCTGGTCTGGGGCGGGTAGCGGGAGCAGCAGGATCAAGTACCTTTGTGAATGAAGAACTTGAGGACCCCTGTGAGCTGCGGGTCCTCGTTGACATTGAGAAGGTGTGGGAGAGCCTTCATCATCTGCTGCTCCTAAAAAGACAGAGAAGCCTGTAGATCCCTGAGCCTGTCCGGGGGACCTCAGGAGGAAGGGGAGCTATCCCGGCAGGCCTGTTCCAATGTGGATATGTTCCAATCATATTCCACATTCATCTGATGGTGAATGTGAATGCCACCCACGAGGGACCGAAGAGCTCAGACCAATCTGCACTGTCCCCAGGGGACACTCACTTAGTCCTTCAAAAACGAATCACCAACCGCCCTAACATCTGTCGTCACTCATCAGCATGCCATGATCTCCTTGATCTCATCAGGCCCCAAGTCTGCCCTCACCACAGTCCGGAGCCTGATAGCAGCACAGGCTGTCAGCTGTGTGGAGGGAGGTGGACCAGTAGTGGACAGATGGTGTGAGCCTCACCTTCGTGAGAGCCACGTACTGCTCCTCCCATTCCTTCCGGGCCTGCTCCAGCAGGTGGGCCCAGGTTCCCCGAATCCCCAGCTGCCATTCTGCCAGGAAACCAGCTGAGTGTTCTAGAGGGAGGAAGGAACTTGAAGCATCAACATCACCAACAGTGAGATGTAGAGGGACAGCAGAGGGGTGGGAAAACCGAGCTGCTTCTATGTGAAGACTCATCGGCTCAGTTCTGCAGCATATGGTGGTACCCCAGGGTAACTCGGGCATTAGAACACAAGAATGAGTCACTGGGAAGCATGAAGCTCAGAGGTCCCCTTTTCTCCTTTTCATGTGTGCAGACATGTGACCATCTGTTCAGGGAATTCCCATCTGACCAGAGGTTCAGAAAGAATGACAGATTTGTCTTACGCTGTGTTTTCATGTTTCAAGCCTGGGTCTGTAAACAGTGGGAATTAGATGCTGAATGTGTGTTGACACCCAGCACATCCAGAACCTTGTGACCAGCAGAGCTGGGCATGGACCACCGTATGCATCTGCTCTAACTCAGGCAGTGCTCTGTGGCCGGGGATGCCTGAGGTCGGCAGGTCAGCATACGAAGCCTGGAGATATGTCCTGGTGAGTGTGCCTGCTCTGTGTCTGAATAGCGTGGGAAAGCACAAGGCTGTTGTTTCATGTCAATGCCAAATGAGACAACATTGATGTCAACGCTGGAATATTCCAAGGCTGAGCCAGAAGATCCTTAACAAAACGTGGGCCTCCCCTCCCACCCCCCACTCTACCTGGCCACTCCTCCTTCCCCAGCCCAGCTGCTATGCAGGCCACCCCCCAGTCCTTCCAACTAGCCTCTGGAAGTCAGGTGTGGCTGAGCGAGCATAACCTGACTTGATTTACCTGCCGCTCCGGTGCCCCCGAATCCGAGCAGGAACTTGTTCTCCGCCCTGGATGCTCTCCCCAGCATGCAGGTGTTGACCACAGCTTTGTTCTGAACCTTTTTAGCCCTGCCACAGGCAATGACGAACACTCTCTCAGGCCCCATTGCAATCAGGGCTATACTGCCAGCCCTGGGGTAGCAGCGGGCAAGCTCAGACCCTGGGCAGAACCGTGTTAGCTTTCACTACCAGGAGTGGCCAGGCTTTTGACACTGTTTCATCTACAGATTCCTCGGGCCACCTTCACAGCTGGCCTGGGATGCATTGTGGGCCCACGGGCCCAAGGCTAGACATATCTGCAACCATTAAGACCAAAACTGACCTCAGGTACCTCCATGGTTCATACGAACTCACAAAGCGCAGCTGAGTCCCCGCGCTAGGCCCCGGAATATCCTGAACACACTTGGCTAATTCAAGAATGTGATTCACCAACAGCTGAAACCCTGGAAGCCACAGGCAAACTGCTCTGCCATGTACCACAAGCTACAGGGGTTTCTGTTCCTGTCTCTACTCCCACCCCAGGGTCGCCGCAGAAAGCTCAGGCATACCATAGCATGATTTATTTTCTGTCTGAGATTCAAATTTAAAGGGATATCTCCTGCCATTATTATCTTGATGTCAGGGGTTAAGTGCTAGGCTTTCCCACAGGGCTCCACCCCCACCGGCGTTTTGTGCTTTACCCTTCCATTTCACAAAGGAAATGTAAAGGTTCCAATGAGGCTGGCTCCAAGCACCAAGTCAGGAGCGGAGTATTGAGAGAGTATATAGAGCGCCTCTCTGTGTATAACCCCTCCCAGAAATCTGACAAGATTGCAGCCGTAGGCAGGAGAAAAGGAACATTACAGATGCTGCTAAAGCCGCAGTTCCACAGATGCTGGGAGAAAAATGTCGTGGCATGAGACAGTACTGCATCTGAGCGGTGAATTGGGGCGGGGGGTGTAGTTTTCACTCAGGAAAGGGCTCTGAGAAGTGTCTGAAGGGCAGATCAGGAGAGGCAGTGGTGGAGGCATGACCTGAACTGGAGGGTTTGGCTGTTGTTTTGGTTTTTTTGAAACAGGACCTCACCTGGCTGGAGCTGTTGAACTCACAGGGATCCACCTGCATCTGACACCCGCGATGGGATTAAAGGCGTGCGCCACCACGCTGGAGTCCAAAGAGTAGTTCTGAGCGTCCCTGCGAGGGCGCCGCCTCTCCGGCCCCTCCTCCTCCTTCTCTCTTTTCTTTTGTTTTTTCATTCCTCTCTCACTAGTCATTTAATTCTCCTCTCCTGGACTCCCACCCTAGACACCAAGTCATCAGGTAGCAGACTGCTGAAAGGAACCGTGACTTAGGACCCGGACACGACCAGTTGCTGCCCACCAACCACTTACCTCTCGGCGTATCTCAGCGTCGACAAGGTCTCCTCATAGCAGATATCAGCTGGGCTTATGGCGGCAATCTGGAACCACCCCACGCAGACTTTCGTCATCCAGGGCTCTATTACCATCGATGCTATTAAAATAGCTAATGTTCGGGTTGGGGGGATGACACCACCAGTGGAGTATTTGCTTTGCAAGCAAGAAGAACTGAGTCTGATACCAGAATCCACACAAAAATGCCATGCGTGCTGGCACCCGCTTGTAATCCCAGCTCTGGGAGGCAGAGACGGGAGGACCCATGGGGCTCACTGGCCAGTGGTCTAGATTAATTTGTGAGCTCCAGGCCAATGAGAGACCCTGTCTCAAAGGAAGTGGATGGCATTCCTGAGGATGACACTAGAGGCTGTTGTCTGGCCTTCACACAAGTGTGCACACACACAGACACGTTTGCACATGTACCTCATGCATGCACATGCTAATAAAAAATCAATGTTCACAAAACAACTTATATCATTTAATTTTCAGTATTATTTGAACCTTAAATTATTTACTTTTTAAGATTTATTTGATTATTTTATGTGTATGAATGTTTCACCTGCGCGCGTGCACGCGCGTGTGTGTGTGTGTGTGTGTGTGTGTATCCCTGTGGAGGTCAGAAGACATCAGATTCCCTGGGACTGGAGCTACAGATGGTTGTGAGCCACCATGTGGGGTGCTGGGATCAAAACTTGGTCCTCTGTAAGAGCAAGTGCTCTTAACCACTGAGCCATCTCTCCACACCCCGAACTTTAAATTTTCAAAAAAATTTTTTTTACATTTATTTGTGTGTGTGTGTGTGTGTGTGTGTGTGTGTGTGTGTGTGTGTGTGTGTACTCTTCCATGCTCCTGACTCAGGGCAAAGCAGGTGTATCATTTGCTGAAAAGCAGCCAATACAGAAGTTGAAGGCAGCTTCCTAAAATCTACATAAAGTTTGAAAGCCTCTATGGACATTGGCTGATGAACAATGATGTCTGGGGTACTGTCTGTTGTCTGGGTCAGCTGGAATCAGTTGGAGCCAGTGACTCATCCCTTTCAAGAGAATGTTTTGTTGATATCCATGGGAGGTCTGCCCTTTTCTGAACAGAAATGGAGGGGGAGGGGGTGGGGGAGGGGAGAGTAGAGATGGGGGAGGGAATGGGAGAAGAGGGAAGGATGTAAAATAAATAAATGTAATTAAAATTTAAAAAGGAGAGTTTGTTTTTGCTGAAAGCTGGGCTGGTGTCATTGAGCTTCGAGTAGGTTAGTTGTGGCCATTCTGGGTTTTATTTGAGTCTTGGGATGCTCAATATTCATCTCCTTTCTCCTTTTCTTCAGTATTTTGTTGTTGTTAAAACACTGCAATGGGGGCGGAGGGGGTGGTTAGGGGACTGTCTCAGTGAAAGGAGGAATGCCTAGAATGGTACCCTTCTGTAGTTCCAGCACTTGAGAGGCTGAGGCAGGAGGATTGCGATTTTTGAATCCAACCTAACCCAAGATCACATCCATGTTTTATCTTAGGTTGTAAATGTTGGTCACACGGGAAACCCAAGGCAAGGTTGTTACATTGTTCTCTTAAAGGCTGGTTAAACAAACCGGGCTGAGTACACAGTAGGACAGTAGTCTTAAGTCTTAAGGACCTCAAGGTGTGCTATATAGTGAGACCCTGTCCCAAAATGAGCAAAACCCTCAGGTCTGCCCTCACGAGTGAGTCTTGCGGCTAGATCTGCAAGGTGTCATTGGCCTCACTGTGCAGGGGACTATACTGTCAGGGTGCTGGATTTTCATCTGCAGTCGGACACTCAGAAGGTGTCTTGGGTGCACGGTTTTGTTTCTGCTTTTCCAGTACTTGGAATGAAACCCAGAATCTAATACATGGTAATGCTGTACCCTGAGCTACATCCCCGGGCCAGAGGAGTATTGTTTCAGTCCAGGTTCTTGGTGAATGTACTACTGAGATCCACAAATAACCGACACCTGGAAAGACTTTAAGATGAAGTATTTAGGCAAGAGTTCATGATAAAAAGCGAGGGTGTGTTTTACTGTGAGTTTGGGGAGAAGAGGCATTTACCCAGTTTTGTCTCATTCTGTAACTGGAGAGAGAGGGCCCTGGCTTAGCATGCTGCACCCACATAGCTAACTGACTCTCAGTGCTAAGATGGAAACTCAGTCACCCTGCAGGTTGTACGTCTGCCTGGCAACTGACTGCCTCCCCACAGAATGTAGGTGGTAGTATTATTGTTCATTTTGTTCTTATAGCAAATGTGGTTATATTTTGGAGGCATGGCTCAGTGGTAACTTGCCTGGTGTGTGCTAGGCCCTGGTTTCCATCCCCAACACAGAACAGAGTCAAAATGGAAAGCAATATATATTCCAGTAGCAACCCCGAAAGCTGCGGCAAAGAATAAAATATTTAATGTTGTGGAAGCCTCGTCACACCCCGAAGCGGACAGGCATCAGGGCCTGTGAGGTGATGGAGAAAGCAGGGCCCAGCACTGAGTCCGGGGTGTGTTGAGAGTGATTTCAGCCTTAGAGTACCAAGAACTGTTCTAAGAAAGAGATCTTACCAGTGTTGTCCGGCTGTTCCCGCCCAGAGCCGACTGGAGCAGTTTGGTCAGAACAGAATCTCTGTAGGGAATGTGCAGAACTTTCTTCCCCATGGCGGAGTCAGCCAGAGCACTGCGGGGAAAGAGAAAACACTAAGCAACCAACGGAAGGGCTGAGAAGACGCTGCCTCTCGGGGTAACTGGAGATGGCCCACACATCCCTGCAGTGGCCCTGTGCTGTGGTTTGAAGCTCACCCCTGTGGGTAAGCCACTGTTTACGTCTGCCTCCAAGGAGCTCCCTCAAACCATGAGCCAAGATAAATCCTTCCTCCCTGAAGCGGCTTCAGGTCGGAGAGAAGTGGCTAACACACCCTGTAAAGTGGCCATAATAACACAGACTAGTAGACACCTGTGCAAAGGTGCCCAAGCAAGACAGGACATAAGCCAGAGACCTCGAGTACACAGCCTCATTTACACAAATGACAGGGACAGGAGAGAGGGCACTGAGCTCAAGAGCATGTACTGCTCTTGCAGAGAACTCCCACACCCACACCCACAATAGGTACTTCCCAATACCTGTAACTCCAGCTCCAGGGGATCTGACGCCCTCTTTTGGCCTGCATGAGCACGTGCACTCACAGGCACATACCCACACTTATACACATAATTAAAATTTTTTTAAATTATAAAACTCAAGATAATTAGGCAAAGATGAATCTGATAGTAATGGTGTTATGAATTATGCACACGTGGGAAACCTCCAGCTGGCCAGGCCAGGGTATCCCACGCGTGAGGGAAAACTTGCTGGGCAGATGCACGCCATCGGTCAGTAATTCACAACCCAAACACTACATCCACGTGGAGAGTTTATTATAATAAAGAGATAAAGAGCAAATAGGAAAGAGGGGGAGGAGAGAGAAAGAGAGAGAGGAAGAGAGAGAGAGAGAGGTCAAGGGGTGTACACGTCGAGGAAAAGGCAGGAGAGAGAGAGAGAGAGAAGGCAGAAGGGGTGGAGTTTTTCCTTAAAAAGAGGTTTTTATGGATGCAGGGCAGCACCAAGGGGTGGGATTTCAAGGGGCGGATCAGAATATTAACAAAAGGCCTGCTTGTTTTGGTGGTGTGCTAGCAGGCAGGGGTGTGCCCCGGTAGGGAGGGGTATGATAGAGACTTGTGGCTTCTGAAAGTGTTCTATATTTTGGCCTGGGTGCGAATTACATTTTGTGTGTGTGTGTGTGTGTGTGTGTGTGTGTGTGTGTGTGTGTGTGAACTTGTTTATATAAATTCATTGAACAGAACATTTAAGATTTATGTACTTCAAAGAAAAAAAATGTACGTACTTCACTGGGATTTATACCATAATGAAAGAGTTTTTTTAAAGTTACTCTCAGAAGAAATTATAACACTTCACAGTTAGGTTGGAGCCTCTGGCTCACCCCTGCACGGTCTGGGAAACCCCATTCCCCCCACCCTCTCTCTCTAAACCCCACCAGCTCAGAGAGCCTCTGACCAAAGGAAAGGCGCCAAACGCCCAGTTCCGCATTCTTGGCGGTACCGCAGCTTCCTCCCCCGATGCCACCAGCCATCCAAGTCCCCGCCTGAACGCTCAGCTTTTGACCAACCATCCTTGGGCACAAACCCAGCTTGTGGCAGACAGGGCCTCACTGTTAGTTCCCGCTGGGGCAGCAGCCTGCCTCAGCTGCCAAGGCAGTTACATCATCACCTGCGGACACACTACAGGCATCCTTTAAAAGTGCCCGCCAGTTCCCTCTCTTGCCTCTCCTCTTGCCTTTCTTGTCTCTTGCCTCTCTTCTTGCGTGTTCTCTCTGTCTGTCTGTCTGCCTGCCTCCCCACTCCAAAACAGCCTTTCACTTTTTCACTCTCTCCCCTCCCCCAATAAACCTCTTGCACTAACTGTTTCCAGTGCCATGCTTGCTTAGTGGCGTACCTGGTGGCGTACCTTGGCAGGGCCCTCCAAAAGGTGCCAACTTTGCCTTTTGTTGTTGTTGTTTTGCTTTGTTTTTGTTTTTCGAGACAGGGTTTTTCTGTGTAGCTTTGGAGCCTGTCCTGGAGCTCGCTCTGTAGCCCAGGCTGGCCTCGAACTCACAGAGATCCCCCTACCTCTGCCTCCCAAGTGCTGGCATTAAAGGCCTGTGCCACCACCGCCTGGGCCAACTTTGCCTTTTTAAAAAATTCTTTGAATCACCCCTCACCCACAATCTATAACATCTCCCTGCTTTAGCTCAGGTGCAGAACTTCTCTGGCCTCCATCTCTGAGACTGGTGAACTGGCCCAGGAATTGCTTTGCTCAATAAACCTGTTGCTATACTTTTTCACTTTGGCTTGATCTGGCTTACTGTGTTGGTGGAGAAACTTTTGGGGTGGGGGGAGAAAACCTATTACTTACCTTTTTACATGAAGTTAAGACAATGTGCTGCACATATGCACTAACATGCACGTGATAGAACAAGATTGGAGAAGGCTCACTGGATGGAGTGTGAAGATGAGGTCCAATTCCAGCACCCACATAAAAGCCAGGTTGTAGCCGGGCGGTGGTGGCGCACGCCTTTAATCCCAGCACTCGGGAGGCAGAGGCAGGCGGATCTCTGTGAGTTCGAGGCCAGCCTGGACTACCAAGTGAGTTCCAGGAAAGGCGCAAAGCTACACAGAGAAACCCTGTCTCGAAAAACCAAAAAAAAAAAAAAAAAAAGCCAGGTTGTTGTGGAATATTATTCTAAGATGTGTTACATTTGTTTATGCTGTGGAACCTTTGTTTAATGATGCAAAGATGTGTTTCATTCTTTTACATTGCATTTGTTTAACTCTGAAGCTGTGTTACTGTGCCTGTCTAAAACACCTGACTGGTCTAATAAAGAGCTGAATGGCCAATAGCAAGGCAGGAGAAAGGATAGATAGGCGGGGCTTGCAGACAGAGAAAATACATAGAAGGAGAAAAAGAGAGAAAAGAGGGATCAAGGAATGAGAGAAGGAGGAGGACACTAGGGGCCAGCCACCCAGCTACACAGCCAGCCACAGAGTAAGAGTGAAAGTAAGATTACAGAAATAAGAAAAAGAAAAATTCCAGACACAAAAGGTAGATGGGACAATTTAAGTTAAGAAAAGCTGGCTAGAAACAAGCCAAGCTAAGGCCGGGCATTTATAAGTAATAATAAGCCTCTGTGTGATTCATTTGGGAGCTCCAAAAGAGCCAAAAAAACAAAAAGGGTATAAAAGAAACAACCAACACCACCAGGCTGGTGTGGCAGCCCACCAGACCTTGGGAGGTGGAGACCAGAGATCTCCCCAAGGGGACCCCCCAGGGCAATCTTTCTAGCTAGACTAGCTGAACTAAGGGCTCCATCTTCATTGAGAAACCTCGTCTCAATAAATACAGTGGAGAGAGCTGAGGGAGACATCCTACATGAGGAAGACATCTCTGATCTCTGCACGTGTGTGTACATATGTGCACACCCATATGTGTACCCACACATATACAAACACCTCCCTGGAAAAAAGGAAAAGAAAGAAAAACAAGGAGGAGCAATGGTAGGGGAGGGGTAAGACCTCAAAGCTCACATGGAGGGTACCTCCAGGAGGAGAGCCCAGGAACAGAATTCTGCACCAACTACTTCACTTGATGGGAGGAACATTTATTCTGCTAGTGTTATTTTGTGAAGCACTAATTAGTTTTAAATATATAGGCGGGCTGGGCATGAACCAATAATGCCACTGTATCATGAACTAAAGGCTATTATTAATCTAATTTTATTTCATTTGCCTTGGTAGGTTTGGAACTGGGGATGGGATCCAGGTCTTGGGCTTACTAGGGAACTTGAGTACCACCCTCTGCTCTTTTATATGTGATTGTTTTACATCATGACCTGGTAGTTTGAATGAGAATGGCCCCTGTTGTGGAATACTACTTTAATTATGTAAAGGTCTGTTACATTTGTTTATGCTGCATTTGTTTAACTATGTAAAGATGTGTTACATTTGTTTATGCTGCATTTGTTTAACTATGTAAAGATGTGTTGCATTACCTTGCCTGCCTAAAGCACCTGATTGGTCTAATAAAAAGTCAATAGCCAATAGCTAGGCAGGAGAGGGATAGGTGGTGCTGTCAGGCAGAGAGAATAAGTAGGAGGAGGAATTTGGGCTGAAAAAGAAGAGGGAGAAAGAGAGGGAAATGCCCAGGGCCAACTGGCCAGACACAGAGGAAGCAGGAAAAGCAGGACATACAGAAGGAGAGAAAGGTAAAAAGCCCCGAGGCAAAACATAGATGAATAGAAACAGGTTAAATTAAGTTAAAAGAGCTAATGGGACAAGCCTAAGCTAACGGCCAAGCTTTCACAATTAATAAGAAGTCTCCGTGTTATGGTTTGGGGGCTGGCAGTCTGAGAAAGCCTATTACAGGCCCCCATAGGCTCAGATGTTTGAATGCTTGGTCCTCAGTTGGTGGAACTGTTTGGAAAGGATGAGGAGGTGTGGCCTTGATGGAGGAGGTGTGTCACTGAGTGTGGGCTTTGAGGTTTCAAAAGCCCACACCATTCTAGTTAGCTCTTCCGGCCTCCTGCTTCTGGATCAAGATGTGAGCTCTCCGCCTGTGTGGCCTGGGCAGGTATCTCCATGATGGGTAAGGTGACCTGCTGATGTCCCACGCAACCTAAGTCAGAAGCTCATGTTCTAGTCAAAGGGGATCTGTAGGGCCCTGGCCCCCGTTTTGGGTAACTGTTGCCTTGCTTGCTGACCTTGACCTTGATATCCTCCCTATGCTAATTCCCTGCCGGGTTCCACCCTCCTGAATGCTTAAGGGAAGTTCCTTGTCTGTGTATCCTGCATAATGGGCCTTAACAGTTTAGATGCAAGATTGTAAAACATAGGTAGCGAACTTCTGCCCTCTGGGGTTCTCCCATTGTGCTGTAAGCCTGTATTTAAGACCTCCTCCCTCCTTTGATACACCACGGCATTCAGCAAAAAAAAAAAAAAAAAGATGTGAGCTCTTACCTACTGCTCCAGTGCCTTGTCTGCCTGCCTGCTGCCATGTTCCCTGCCATGATGGTCTTGGACTCCTCCGCTCTGAAACTGTAAGCTCCCAATAAACTATTGCTTCTACAAGTTGCCTTGGTCAAGGTGTATCTTCAGAGCAATAGAAAAGTAACTAAGACACATGAATATCTGTGTGCTGGTCACATACCTGATGACGTTTCCTAAACTGGTTAGGCTTAAATTGACCCTCGATCCTTCCCTCAGCCGGTCTCCTTCAGCTCCTGATGATTTCTGCCTCTCACTTCCTGCCAAGTCCACCATGTTGATGCTGGATTGCTTGGTGAGGGCTGTGTCCAGGAAAATCTGTAGAGACACACCTCAGACTCTTAGACTGATGTCTCAGAGACAGACTGTGCCCCGAGCTTACATGACTCCAAATATAATAAAGTTTTGATGACTGTGGCTGTCGCTGGAGGTGCCGCCCCGTGCAGTGACAGTTGACAGTGATAATGCTGCACTCCCGGGTCCACGTGTCCTGCTTGCCTCTCTCCAGTTCCGCAAAGCTCTTTCGGGGGACATAATAGATACCAGTCGTGGCACAGGCATTTCAGTAAACTCTTAGCACATAAAATGCTGTGAAACCTGCAACATCATGAACTGTTCAGCTTTGTGGTCCAGCAGCTGAATGAACACAGACTGGAATCCTACAGGGTTTCCTGCTGGCTATAGGATTTTTTTTTTTTAACATTTTAACTTCTTTAATTAAAAAAAAAAAAAAATGAGTTTGGAGCTGGAGAGATGACTCAGCAATTTAGACCACTGGCTGCTCTTCCAGAGGACCCGGGTTCAATTCCCAGCACCCACATGGTGGTTCACAACTGTCCATAACTCCAGTTCTAGGGGATCTAACACATTCACACCAATGCACATAAAATAAAGTTAAATAAATTTTTTAAAAAATCTTCCTTTATTTGCCTTCATCCGATTTCTCCCCTTGTTCCCGGATAAGAAGTTCCAATAACAGGGTGAATCATGTATACAGTATATGAATTTCACATGGTAAAATTCATCCAGTGAACTGCCCTTAAAATGTACAAAACTCGCCGGGCGGTGGTGGCGCACGCCTTTAATCCCAGCACTCGGGAGGCAGAGCCAGGCGGATCTCTGTGAGTTCAAGGCCAGCCTGGACTACCGAGTGAGTTCCAGGAAAGGCGCAAAGCTACACAGAGAAACCCTGTCTCGAAAAACCAAAAAAAAAAAAAAAAAAAAAAAAAAATGTACAAAACTCTCAGTTGTGGGATATTTGTTTACACTGTGTGAAGATGTGTCACTGTGATTGGTTTAATAAAAAGCTGATTGGCCAGTAACTAGGCAGGAGAGGCTAGGTGGGACTTCCTGGCAGAGAGAGGAACTCAGAGGGGTTAGAATCTAGGTGCAGGAGAGATGTCAGTGAGGCGCGGAGGGAGTCAGATATGCAGATGGAGGAGAGGTAAAAAGTCACATGGCAGAACATAGGTTAATAGAAACAGGTTAATTTAAGTTATAAGCTAGTTGGGAACACGCCTAAGCTAAAGGCCAAGCTTTCATAATTAATAATAAGTCTCCATGTCATTATTTGGAAGCTGATGGTCCCAAAAGAAAGTCCGACTACAATTCTGTATGTGTGTGTGTGTGTGTGTGTCTGTGCATGTGCATGTGTATGTGTGTGTATGTCTGTGCATGTGCATGTGTGTGTATGCACAGGTACACAAGTGTGAATATTCATGCAGAGGACGGAGGTTGCTATCACGTGTCTTCCTCAACTGTTCTACACTTGATTTTTGAGGAAGTTTCTTACTGCCCCAGAGCTCACTGATTTGGGCAGACTCCTGGAGGTCCCTGCAATCCCCCTGTCTCCGCTTCTTTAGCATGAAGATCATAGGAGCATGCTGCCGTGCCTGACCCTTTTATGTGGGTGCTGGGGATTTGAACTCTGGCCCTCATGTTTGCACGGCAAGAGCTTTACTGATGAACCATCCTCCCAGCTCTAGAAAATTCTCTAGAACGCAGTGCCTCATCTCAGCCTCCCAACGTGCCTGAGGACAAAGCCATCACCCCATTTTACAGAAGACAAAACTGGGGGTTGGGAAGATGATCCCCTCAAAAATGTTAGCACGGGTACCTAACAGCCACTTTTGTGAACAAGATGGTGTCCTCCATTGCGGGTTCAGCACTGAGAGGACAAGGGTCGTGTAATCACAGCTGGCTGTGGCATTCACCCAGGACTCAGGAGCAACTGTTTCTAGAACAAACCAAACCAGGGATGTTGCTCAGAGACGTCCTGACACCCACCAAGGAGAGTGGAGAAGAGAGGTCCTCTCTGGTTTATCAAAGGTGCTGTGGGATAACCCCTCTGTATGCTGTAAATATGTTTTATTACCATTGGTTGATAAAGAAGCTGCTTTTGGCCTATAGCAAGGCAGGATAGAGCCAGGCAGGAAATCTAAGCAGAGATACAGGGAGAAGAAGGGCGAAGTCAGGGAGATGCCAGCCAGCCACTGGAGGAGCACAGGTAAAGCCATGAGACACTTGGCAAAACATAGATTAATAGAAATGAATGCCGGGCGGTGGTGGCGCATGCCTGTAATCCCAGCACTTGGGAGGCAGAGGCAGGTGGATCTCTGTGAGTTCGAGGCCAGCCTGGTCTACAGAGCTAGTCCAGGACAGGCTCCAAAACTACAGAGAAACCCTGTCTCAAAAAACCAAAAAAAAAAGAAAAAAGAAATGGATTAATTTAAGTTGTAAGAGCTAATTAATAATAAGCCTGAGTGATAGGCCAAACAATTTGTAATTAATATTAAGCCTCTGAGTGATTATTTTTAAAGTGGCTGTGGGACCGAGTAGGACAGAAAAGCCTCCGTTTACACAAAGGTTTTAGTTAGTTACAGGATTTCCAAGAACTGATCTTGGTCAGTCTGAGTCTCAGAAAGATGCTTGAGCACCTGGCCATGCCCTTGGCTCACGACTGATCCTCAGATGGGTAAGTGTGGGTCTGCTAATCTTAGTTCTCCAAGCTAGACCACAGTCAGTGTCTTCACAGTTGACTCCTTTGCCAACTTGGCCTCAAAATTCATTCCTTGGAGTATAGAATTTACTTGAGGAAAAACAGCCAGCCATGTCCTGTGGGCACTCCAAGGATTGGTTGATCATAAGACCACTCTGTCATAAGTAAGGAGCCTGCTTCATTGAGGGGGGGCCAAGGAGAGCAAGGCCCTCAGCTCTTCCCATCTGGGCCCCACCTACTATGGTTGGAAGCGGGTACTTTAGTCCCTGGTCCACTCTGGACAAAGTCCACCGCACCACCCCTGCTCTGCCACCAGGAGCCTGTCCCACAGATGAGGACTCCCACCTGCTTGAACTGGATGGTGATGACCATGTGGGACCGGCTGCTGCTGGCATTCATGTTGGTCGAAGCTGTCATCCTGATTTTTGATCCTTGCTCCATCAGCTTTTCAATCTGTGCGTAATTCTCACAAGGCACCCACTTCAGACCTTCCACAAAAAAGCCCAGCTGTGGATCTTCCCTGACTTTCAACCCTCCGGGAGTCTTGGTTCTAGATAGCAAATCTCTTATCTGTAGGAGGAAACAGAAGAAGAAATGGTATACAGCTCAAGAACGTGGGAATTTCATTTCCTTCCTTATCACTGCCTGTGAAATATTAGGTGCTCTGTAAATATGTCTTAGGTAGTTGAATTAATACTGAGTTTCTTCCTTTTCTTTTCTTTTCTTTTCTTTCTTTTTTTTTCCCCAAGACAAGGTTTCTCTGTGTAGCTTTGCACCTTTCCTGGAACTCACTCTGTAGCCAAGGCTGGCCTCGAACTCACAGAGATCTACCTGCCTCTGCCTCTCGAGTGCTGGGATTAAAGGCGTGTGCCACCACCGCCTGGCTCTTTTTTTTTTTTTTTTTTTTAAATACTGAATTTCTATAGGTACCAGACAACCTTATAATTGAGCTAAGTAAGAAACAGGGAAATGTACAGGAAAGAAGACAAGAGAGGCTGGACAGTGGTGGCACACACCTTTAATCCCAGCACTTGGGAGGCAGAGGCAGGTGGGTCTCAGAGTTTGAGGCCAGCCTGGGCTACAGAGCAAGTTCCAGGACAGCCAGAGTGACAGAGAAACCCTGTCTCAAACAAACCAAACAAACAAACAAACAAATAAACAAACGAACAAGCAAAAACAAAAAAGAAGACAAGAAAGTCTATCATAACAGTGGAATGAGAAGACTAATTACCAATGTGTGTGTGTGTGTGTGTGTGTGTGTGTGTGTGTGTGTGTGTGTGTGTGTACACGTGTGTGTGTACGTGTACTTGAGTGCCCGCACATGGAGGTGAGGTGCACATGGAGTCCCACAGTACCACAGTGTGCACATGGAGGTCAGAGGAGAACTTAGTGGAGTCAGTTCTTTCTTTCCATCTTTATGTGGGTTCAGGAGACCGAACTCAGGTCATCAGGCTTGGAAACATGTGTCTTAACCCTCTGAGCCATCCTGCCAGCTCCCAGAAACCTAGTTCTTTATTTAAGCGATTATTCTTGGAAACACAGTTTTATTATTTTCCAGGCCTCCGACTCTGAATTTTGAAGGGTGCTGTGAAATCTTCCTCCCAGTTCATAGGGAAAGCTCAAGAGGTGCTGGTTGAGCACACAGGCCGAGGATGCCTTCCTTCTCTGGGGCATGGGAGAGCTGGGAGGTGGGTTGTAAGTTGGGATGTTGAGAGTACACACTTTTTTGACTATAAACAGATGACTTTTAAAACTTCTATGCTTGAATATATTTATCTCTGATTTACAGAATTATCATCATCATCATCATCATCATCATTATTATTTTGGTGGCCTTGGGATGAAATCAAGGGCTTTAAGGCTGGTAAACAAGCATTCTACCTCTAAGATACAGTGAGTTCTAAGCTAGCCTGGGCTACCGAGCAGCACCCTGTCTCATTCTTCTGTTCTTCCCACTGCTCCAGACAGAAGTCTGCCAGCCGCAGGCTGTGAACTAGATCCAAGGCACCAACTGCTCCCCTGTGACCCTTGAGCTAAGAATGTGTTTCACGGGGGACTGGAGAGATGGCTCAGTGGTTAAGTGCTGTGGAATGTTCTGTATGGCAAATGTGTTGCTAATTAGTCAATAAATAAAACACTGATTGGCCATTGGCTAGGCAGGAAGTGTAGGCGGGACAAGGAGGAGAATAAAGCTGGGAAGTGGAAGGCTGAGAGAGAGAGACACTGCCAGCCGCCATGATGAGAAACAGCATGTGAAGATGCCGGTAAGCCACGAGCCACGTGGCAAGGTATAGATTAATGGAAATGGATTAATTTAAGCTGTAAGAACAGTTAGCAAGAAGCCTGCCACGGCCATACAGTTTGTAACCAATATAAGTCTCTGTGTTTACTTGGTTGGGTCTGAGTGGCTGTGGGACTGGCGGGTGACGAAGATTTGTCCTGACTGTGGGCAAGGCAGGAAAACTCCAACTACAGTTAAGAGCACTGACTGCTCTTCCAGAGGTCCTGAGTTCAATTTCCAGCAACCACATGGTGACTCACAACCCTCTGTAATGAGATCTAGTGCCCTCTTCTGGCCTGCAGGGACACATGCAGGCAGAATACTGTATACATAATAAATAAATAAATCTTAAAAAATAAATAAATAAAATAATTTAAAAAAAAAGAATGTGTTTCACACCTTTACTTGAGTGGGATAGGGGAATTAAAAGTCCTATTTAGTGACACACGAGAATGTTGTGGAAAGGAAATTGCAGCGTCCGTCAGCAGCCTCACGGCACATGGCAAGGCGGCTCATCTCTCTTGTGCTCTCCAAAGCAGAGATGAGCCATGCCTCAGACAGCAAGGGCTGCAGAGACTCAGGAGTCCCCTTTTGGTCCCCAACAGCATCTCACCCACTGACCATAATGATCTCAGGACGCATGAAGCGATGGCCTGGAAGTCAAGTGGTTTCTTCAGCAGCAGAGAAAGGACAGCGGTCAGAGAAGGGCATGTCTGGAAAGGCAGGAGATTTGCTGTGATGGTTTGAATGAAAAAGGTTCCCTACAGTGAAGAACAAGGAATTTGAGGTGGTGCTGGAGAGGCAGGTGGGCTACATTCAACACAGCATGACGGGGGACCAGAGCCCTTGGTGCCAGTAATCCAGAGTCAGCACAGGCTCCCAGGATAGGTGGGGCTCAGTGGTAAAGCCTGTCTTAGGGTGTGCAAGGACCTGGGTTTGATTCTCAGCAGAGACAGAGAGAAAGAGACAGAGATAGAGAGAATGTTATGCTGTGGGATGGTCTGTATGTCAAATGTGTTGCTCTGATTGGTCAATAAATAAAACACTGATTGGCCAGTGGGCCAGGCAGGAAGTATAGGTGGGACTAACAGAGAGGAGAATTGAGAGAACAGGAAGGCAGAGGGAGACACTGCCAGCCGCCGCCATGACAAGCAGCATGTGAAGATGCCGGTAAGCCACAAGCCACGTGGCAAGGTATAGATTTATAGAAATGGATTAATTTAAGATGTAAGAACTAGATAGCTAGAAGCCTGAGCCACTAGGCCAAACAGTTTAAATAATATAAGAGCCTGTGTGTTTATTTTATAAGTGGGCTGTCGGACTGCTGGGGATTGACGGGACGGGAGAGAAAACTCTCCAGCTACAATGTTACCTGTTCATTGTAGATTTCCAGCATGCTAAACATGACCTGTAGGGAGAACAATGTGTCAGTGTCCTGAGTTCAGGAGTGATGTAGCAACAAGAATATAAACATTCAACAAAGGAAAAGGCTTACTAACATTAACTGCACTGAACTGTTTCAAACCACATGCTTCTCAGGGAATTTTACGGCACTGGAAAGTCTCGCAATATAAAATTTAAAAAGACACAAAACAGGCTGGGAGCTGCTCAGTGGGTAAGAACACTGGCCGCTCAAGCATGAGGACCTGAGTTAGGATTCCCAGCACCCACATAAAAAGCCGGGTATGACTGTGCTCACCTGCAACTGTGGGGGTGCAGACAGGAGGCGCTCTGGGCTGACTGCCTGACAGTCTATCTAAACACATCAAACTCCAGGTTCAGTGAGAGACCTTGTCTCAAGGGAACAAGGTGGAGAGTGATGGAGGGGACACCCAGTGTCCTCCTCTGGCCTCCACACATGTGCACGGAAGCATGTATCTCTACCTGTATAGACATGTGTGCATGCACTGTTGTGTCACATACTCATGTACACACTCACACACACAATCAAAAAGAAAAGGAAAACACACAAAACAGGGATTATTGTCAGGCCTGCAATTCCGGTTCTGGGGGGGGGGGGCTAAGACAGGAAGATTAATTAGAACGTGGACAGGAGGGGAGGATGTGGCTTCTGCCATTCGGTGCTGGGGGAGGGTTTTAGGGTGGACTTTACAGAAATGACTCACACAGTATGTGCTTCGCCTACTAACCCTCTGCCATGTGGCTCTGGTGGTTGGCTTCACCCCCTCCTCAGATCGCTGAGAGCCCAGCCTTAAACCCAGAGCCTGGCTGAGAGCTGCATTTACCTGAGAGTTGCATTTAACCTACCCAGCTCTAGGAAGTTGGTTCCCACACAGTGGCAGGCACTTTACTTAGCTTGTTGCTTCTATTTAGCATGCTGGTTGCTCAAGTGCTCTGCTGCACAACAGCACCTCTTAAAGGAGCCGCATCCTTAATTAATTAATTAATTAATTAATTTATTTATTTATTTATTTATTTTCAGCTTTCTCAGGCCCTGTGTAGAAATTTGGGCCCCATATTGGGTGCCAACATTGTTTCAACTTTGGCACAGTGGCTGAGCCTTAATCGACTGCTATCTCAGCCAGCAATTGCAACTCCATAGTTTCGAACCTGCTTCTCTAGCAGCATCCTGGTCACTTGGGTTCCCACAGGCACTGGCCCCATCACTGCCGCTAAAGGTAGCTTTAACTGAATCTCTATCATTCAATTATGAATAAGATTCAAGATTCAAAGGCTGAGGAGAAAACCTGGGGGCTCAGAGAGGCCGAGTAGCAACTAGCTGACCCTCTCTCCTTGCTGGTGTCTACTCTTTGCTAAACCAGAAAAAGCTGCTCCACGCCAAATCCCACCCTACTACTTCCTGTGTTTCTCGCTCTCTCCCAGATGCCCTCCGAGGCTCTATGATTACTTCCTGTTAACTAGTTGCCAACACGGCCTCCTGACCCAAGGTTAATTTTATTTAATTAATGCAAATGCAATCTTGAGATTCACAGTGCCATCAAATGTCCCCCAACACACACACACACACACACACACACACACACACACACACAAATCTGAAAACAGATGTTAGTGCCTTCCATTTGTGGGAAATGAAAAGGTGCAGTTCCCCAAAGAAAGGATTCTAGAATAATGGATACATACCTGGAGTTCTATGTTTTCTCTTTGCATCTTAATAGCTTGGAAGAGCTCTTCACACACTCTTGGAATAATACCCTTGTTTGTGCCAAAGCCAACCATGGAGTAGCTTTTTCCAGAGCCAGTCTGGCCATAGGCCAGGAGAGTAGCATTGTAGCCTCGCCAGGCACTGTCTAGAATTCCTCTTCCAATATCATGGAAGACATGGATCTAGAGAAGAAATTGTAACTGTCACCAACCCTGGTGGCTCTAAAGCATCACTTCAGCACACATATGAGTGTATGCACACACTCACACGACACAAACCCCTCCACAGAACTGTATTTTGTATCCAGGGTGCCACTCAAAGGTTTAGCCCCCCCAGGTTGGTAGCGCTGGGAGGCTGCGGAAACTTCACCCCAGTCTCATTCTTTTATTTCCTGCCATGAGATCTGGAGCTTTGCCTCCCCCAACACTGCCTGCTGTAATGTCTTACTTCACCACAGTCTGGAAAAGTAACGGGCTGCTGCCTACACAGTGAGCCAAGTGAGCCTTGACTCTTCAGAGTGGGTTATCGCAGGTGTTTATGTATAGATAGATAGATATATATACTAACAGAAAGTTGCCTAATGCATGCACTCTTAAAAAAACAAACCTCTCCTCAATGCTCAGAGACCACTGAAGAAGAGGGAGCAGAAAGATGGGAAGAGCCAGAGGTCAGGGAGGGCCCGAGCCAAACAGTGCCTTCAGGGCATGATGGACCTTCACTCAGGAACTCACAAGCCCTGCACAATAGCAAGCCAGTTGCCATTCCAGCACAGAGTGGGCGGGACTCGTGAGCCTCACCCAGCTGAGGAGGTACTGACAGTTGGTGGTTTCCAGGGGAGACAATTTGCTTTAAGGGTGTGACCCCTGGTAAGTTAAGAAGCTGCAGTTAATGGCTCCACATTCCTGATATATGGACAGCTAAAATTGGGCTCTATGGGTAAAGAAAGAAAGGGTGGGAGGGAGGGAGGGAGGGAGGGAGAGAGAAGACAAGAAATTGGGAGGGGATGGGAAAGTGGGGGGTGGATCTAGGAGGAGTTTAGGGAAGGAGCAAGGGGTGAATACCATAAAAATGTAATGTATGCATGCATGGAGTTCTAAAAGAATTAATACAAAATCTATTTACATTTTTATTATTTTATGTGCATGGGTGTTTTGCCTACATGTGTGTTTATGTACCACACGTGTGCCTGCTGTCCTTGGAGACCAGAAGATCTCCTAGAACTGGAGTTACAGACAGTTGTGAGCCATCATGTGACTGCTGGGATTGAACCCAGGTCCTGTGGAAGAGCAGCTAGTGCTCTTAAGCACTCAGCTGCCACCTCTCCAGCCCCTGAAAATATATTAAAACAACAGCAAGAACAACAAGCTTTTAAAATCAGGCATCACGGTAGAGTAGTGCTTTGGGAGATGGAAACAGAAAGAAAAAAAAAAAAAGGAAACATTTTTTAAAAGTGGAATCCAAAGATGCTTGTACAGAGTTGCTCGAAAGGCAGGTGTGGCCTGGCTCCTTCTCTTTCTGGTCACAGCCACTCCAGCAACAGCTCTCAAAGAAGAAAAAGGGAGAATCATGTAATCCGTTTGTCACAATATATACACTTGTGTAATTTATGTAATTTTTAATTCTGAGAAAGACATACACACCAAAATAGTATGATCTACTAAGAAAAAATTTAAAATAACCAATTTTAATACTATTTGTTTCTAGCCAGGCAGTGGTGGCACATTCCTTTAGTCCCAGCACTCAGGAGGCAGGAGGCAGGGGAATCTCCGAGTTCAAGGTCAGCCTGCTTTACAGAACTAATTGCAGGACAGCCAGGACTACAGAGAGAATCCCTGTCTCAAAAAACAGAAAACAACAACAAAAAATACTATTTGTTTCTCATAGAAAGGAATAAAAAAACCTTCATGCCTTTAATACCAGCACTTAGGAGGCAGAGGCAGGAGGATCTCTGTGAATTTGGGGCCAGCCTGGTCTAGAAAACAAGTTCTAGGCTAGCCAGGGCTGCATAGAGAGACACTGTATCAAAAAAAAAACAAAACAAAAACAGAAACAAAGAATTATTGTACTATAAAGGTTGTGTGGTCTCTAGGATTAATGGAATTTGACTTATAGTTATATTAACCGATTCCTGCACTGATTTCCTTGTATGCTATGTATGCTTCCAAGAACTTCTAACAGTGTGTTTTATCAAACTCAGGTCCTCATGCTCCGGCAGCAAGTGTTTTGACAACTGAGCCGTCTCCCTGCTCTGGCGTGGACAATACTGAAATGTTTATAGTGCATCAGAAAAGAAAACACAAAACACAAAATCTACCACTGTAGTTTCCAAGCAACTTACCTGGCCTGCAAATTTACTAGTTGGATTAGATGGAATAAGGATGCCATCTTTGTCCTTTTGATATCCGTCGTGAGACCAATATGCCAGGTCAAAGGTGAAGGTCTTCAAATGCTCTCCATTTTTAGGGTCTCGGATGGTGGTGCTTTGGGAATGCATGGAAACCACACAGCGGCTTCCAGAGTTCTTCTCTCTCTATAGTTAGGTTACAAATTCAGAATCACAGTACATTCTGGCTGGAAGAAGTCACTTGTCCCAACCCCTTGTGGTGGTTTGAATGAGAATGGCCCCTATAGGCTCATATTTGAATATTCGGTTTCTAGTTGGTATGGCATGGGCTTTTGAAACCCAAAGCCTAACCCCAGTGACACACCTCCTCCAGCAAGGCCACACCCACTCCGTTTCCATTTCTCTGCCTCTAACTTGTTGATAAGATATAAGCTCTCAGCTACTGCTCCAGGGCCATGCCTGCCTGCCTGCTGCCATGATCCCTGACATGATGGTCATGGACTCAACCCTCTGAAACTATAAGCAGCCCTCAATTAAATACTTTTTTCTAGGAGTTGCCTTGTCCACGGTGTCTCTTCACAGCAATAGACCAGTGAGAAAGCCTGATTTATAAGCCTTGTTCTCTGACTAGAGTTGTAGGGTCTGCCTAGGCTCATGCACCTGCTGGTGAGGCTCACTTGGCAACACTGATCTCTACTGCTTCATCTTGTCTTGTGGCACCTCGTGGCTGCTTCTCATATATTGGGACTGGATTTTTTCTTTCTTTCTTTTTTTTTCTTTTTTTCTTCTTTCTTTCTTTTTCTTTTTTTTTTTTTTTTTTTTTTTTTTTTTTTTTTTTTTTTTTTTTTTTTTTTTTTTTGGTTTGTTGAGACAGGGTATCTTTGTGTAGCTTTGGTGCCTGTCCTGGAACTCGCTTTGTAGACCAGGCTGGCCTCGAACTCACAGAGATCTGCCTGGCTCTGCCTCCCGAGTGCTGGAATTAAAGGCATGTGCCACCACCACCCGGCTGGATTTTTTTTCTTGAATAATTGGTAAGCCAACCAGAAAACTGAGGGATTGGATAAGAAAATAAAAGCTTGAGCAAGGAGGCACACAAGTACGATATGTAATTCTGTATGGGAAGGAACCCTCCATATGGCAAGATGCTTGTGACTGTCCTAATGAGTATACCCCAAAGGCAATGCTGGATTATGAACAGCTGTTTTCCAAATGCCCATTGCACCACTGTTAAAAGAAAGGACAGTGTCTCGCTACCGTAGTGGGGTTGTTTCTGTGGACTGGATGGCCACCAATATCTAGATGGCTATGGGCAAAAGTGCTAAATACCAGAAGAGTTTCAGCCTGCACAATGCTAGGGAAATGGAAGCCTGGGACACCAAGGAAAGAATCCCAGCAACCAGCCATGCGCAGTAGGTAAAAATGAGAGAGGAATCAAGGGAACTGGCACCTCATCAGCACATGGAAGGAAATGAGGACTGAGACTCCACCTACGCCTGATGCTTGTACCAATAGAGACAGAAGCAGAAGCAGACTGTTCCAGACTGCACAGCGGCAGCGTACCTAGACAGCTAGCAAAACCTTTTATTTTTTGTTTGGTTTTTTGAGACAAGAGTTTTTCCATGTACCCCTGGCTGTCCTGGAACTCATTCTGTAGACTAGGTTGGCCTCAAACTCAGAGATCTGCCTGCCTCTGCTTCCCAAATGCTGGGCTTAAAGGCCTGTGCCACCACAACCCGGCTAACAAAATCTTTTCAACAGATTGTCCTGAGAACTTTGCCTGCTCAAGTGAGCACACTCTGGGATATGGGAATGACATCTTCTCTGTGAGAAGAAATGGAGCTGGGAGGGGAGCAACATTAGCGATCATCTGGCCTGAGGAAGAGCATCCAGACTGCCTGCCAGATCCAAGGAGCTTGGTCCACAGTAGAATTGATCTCTGTGGCCACAAGAGCAGCAGCCTGGCCAAATGAGAGGGGTGTGTCAGGGCAGGTAGCTCAGAGCAAGCATCGAGGAAGTCATGGGCATTTTGTGGGAACTGGCATGGATGGGAGAAGCCACTTAGGCCCAGGCGATTCAAGGACCCGGGAAATCCATTTTCATTATATCTCATTTTATTATTAGAGAATGTATGATGTGTGTGAGTGCATGCGTGTGTGTATATGCCCTCACCATGGTGCGTGTGGAGATCAGAGAACAAGATTTTATCTCAGAATAAGCTTTAGAGGGTGACACAGTCCTTCCAAGGAATTCACTATTCCACTGGGCCTACGAAGACATGGAGCCCACTGCTCTGGTGGTTACAGGTGCCCAAGGGCTGCAGGTGCGAGGGCTATGTAAAGTAACCGGTGGGGATGGGGGTACGACCATCAGAGAAAAACAAGTGTTGTTCTGTGCCTGGGCATGAGGAGAATACCCCCATTCTGTTTCGCACTAATATCCCCGGTCCCCGAGAGCATTCTGGGGGTAGATATTCTATTAGGAGAGACATTACAGGCCCGGGAAAGTGAACAGTTCAAAACGCAGGTTGAGGGAGCACTGGACCCTCGACCTCCCCCCGGCCCCCACAGTAATTACTGTTCTCAGGCCCCGTGACAAAGGACTTTCACAAAGCACTTGAAGGGAAGGGCTTGTTTGGGCTGTTTCAGGCCACCGTGTCCGTTAGGCATGATGGTGGGGATGGCGGGGGACAGTGGGGATGGCCGGGGGACTGGTGGCAGGAGCCTGTAGCAGTTTGTTCACAGTTTAGCAGATCAGGAAACAGTAATGGGACTCCAAGCAAGCTCAAGCTGAAGGTCTCAGTAGCTTTCAGAGGCCAGCGAGGCCCTATGTCCCAAAGGCTCCACAATCTCCCCGAACTGCCACTGGCTGGGAAGCAAGCATTCTGACATGCAGGCCTGTGGGGAACGTTCCATCTTCAAAGCACTTACAATAACACTAGGAGGGTCACAGTAGACACAGGTAATGTAAGCTGCCAGATGAACCTGAGGTTGGAAAGGCTGTGACAAAACAGAGGTCGGGATCTTGAATACTCACATTCCCTTCCATAGCCCAGTCCCCGTGAGAAAGCCAGATGGGACTGGACTTGAGGGAGCTCAGAAAGATACCTCCCATCCTGACTATACATACATAGGTGCTGGAGGAAGACCTTCTCTTGGTCTTGTGCATACCGCCCCAACATTAGATGATAGCATTTTGAGCATCCCTTATACCTGGATCCATAGAACTGGACATCCTAGGTCCTGCCCAGGAGTAGCCACACACAGGCCAGCTGTTGCAAAGCAGAGAGGCTGGGAACCTGGTTCCCTTCCTTCCTTCCTGGTAGGACCTGGCTCTACTATAGTAATACTCTGCTAGTAAGTGGAGACTGTACTCCTTTAGAGGACACAGTAAGAACTATGCATTCATCCATCTACCCATGATGGTATGAGTTGGTAGCATCAAGATTCAGGACCTTGGATAGGAGACATCCTTAGGGGTGACTGGTGGGTAACATTCTTTTAATTCTTGACATAGGGTGCATGTGTGTGTGTGTGTGGGGGGGGTGGTCTGGGGGACGGTGTATAAAGTGCAAACTTATTTCCTGGGTGGCAAAGTTGTACAGGGTTTGCAGAACTCCGTAAGAGTCTTCTTCCTCCTGTAGTGTGATGTCTATGCCCACAGCATGAGCTAATGAAAACAGGAGCCCTGTGGGGCTGGGGTGGTCTCCACAGGAAGTGTTTAACGAGGCACACTGTGACATTCCAGGCTCCAGAAGATAACCTGGAGTTACCTGGTGGAGTACCTCCTGTCGGGTGTGTCAGGTAGGTTAGCTGCCATTTGCAGATTCATGAGCTGGGCTCTCCGGTAAGAACAGGACAAAAGTACCTCTAGGTTTCTGGTCCCAGTTTTGGAATGGAGCAGAAAATCAACTGGATACTTACCCTTTATTTAAAAATCCTTAGTTTTTCTTTTGTGTTTTGCCTACATGTATGTGCGTGCCTGGTGCCTATGGAGGTTAAGAGGGCATCAGATGCCCTGGAACTGGAGTTATGGATAGTTGTTAGTCCCCATGTAGTTGCTGGGAACTGAACCTGGGTCTTCTGCAAGAGCAGCCAATGCTCTTAACCACTGAGCCATCTCTCCAGTCCCCTGTTTACTTCCCTTTAGAATTAGCATTTTCTGGCAGTCCTATAGCAACAAGACATCACTGGTCACAGTGGGTAAAGACAAGCCTACCATAATGGAAAGGATGGATGGTAAGTTCCAGTGGTCACAGCTCTCTACCTGGCAGGCTCATTACATCACAGTATCTTCTCCAAGTTCCCCACTCCTGTAGAGGGGTTTAGGTCCAGAGGCTTCTGACCTGTGCACTCTGGACAGTGTGCCTACACGTTCTAACGTAGAATGGGACACAGCCAAAGGGAAGGGGTGGCCTTGTGTACACGAGATCTCAAGAGCAGTAGTGTTTCCATAGAAAGTTGTAGATTCGCACACAAACCCATTAACATGTGAGCGTGGCCTGGCATGGTCTCATTGTGACTTATGATTCTCCTGATTCAGCATTCTGTGTTGGGATCACTGATCTATGTACACACATGGCAAGACCTACTTTTATAAAAGATAAAACTTTGGGTGTTTTTGAGACAGGGTTTCAAGCTGGCCTTGAATGTACAACACAGCCAAGGATGGCAGCTTCTAGTCGGGTCTCTAACTCCTCCTGCTGGGATTCCCATGTCACCATGCCTAGTTTTACAGAGTGCTGGTGAGCCACCCCAGGGATTCATACACGGCAGGTGAACACTATCACTGAGCTCCACCTCTGCCCCCATACATGCATTAAAAGCAGATACAAGCCAGGCGGTGGTGGTGCACACCTTCAGGCAGGCGGATTTTGAGGACAGCCTGGGATACAGAGTGAGTTCTAGAACAGGCTCAAGCTACATAGAGAAACCCTGTCTTGAAAAACCAAAAACAAACAAACAAAAACCAAAAAAAAAAACCAAACCCCAAAGAACCACCCCACCCCACCCCCACCGCCAAAAAAAAAAAAAAAAGCAGACACCACACGTTCTCCTGCACCCAACTGCACTGGTTTAAATAATTATTAACTTGACAGTATTTCTCTTGTCAGTTTTTTATTGTGCTACTTGTACCAAGGAATGAAATTGTTTACTAAATTATGCTTAGAGCTTTTGTTATTCATTTGACAAATTCATTTAAATAAGTTTAGTATTTCATAAATGACAAGCAGCTTCAGTACAAATTCCGCAACTGTTATTAAAAGTGAGTAAAATCAGGCAGTAACTGTCGACAAGGCAATGACACGACTGACCTGGCTGAAAGGCCGCACCCGTACTGCCACTCTCACGCTGTCCGTGCTCCCCGGCACAGGCATTTCTTCCCCCCTTTTCTCCTTTTCCATAATGCTATTCGGTAGAAAAATAACATACAGAGCACACCGCTACACTTCACACGAAAACATCCAGAGCTTAGTTGACAAAGGCAGTCTGTTTCTAGGTATCAATTACTAAGGGTCCATTCATTACACACTATCAATTACCTGTCATCAATTATTTGACAACACTTAGTTATTGATGAATTTCCTAGCCTCCATCAGGCGCCATTACTTGCGCACACTCATGCTGTACAACAGGGGTTGTCTCTCCTCTCCGCATCTACTCACACTCTTCCATTCTCCATGATCTGTGCCTGAGGTCCTGTGGGCACTGCAGTTTTCTCCTGAATACTGAGAGGCTGCTGTGACTCAGGAGCCGTCACAGCACGGGTAATCTAAAATTGGTCCAACTCTCTTCTCAACAGTAGGCACACACCAGTGGACTGAGTATCTGGAGCAGTTTTATTCACATTTCTTTCTTAAATCCTTTCATGAGGTTGCTAAGAAGCAGTGAACCGGTCAATCTAACCTGGATAATTAGTCTCTGAATTGAGACAAGAATAGTCTTTAAGTTACTGAACAAGAAATGCCAGCATTATAGTTAACCAATGCATTACTGGAAAATTACTCTTTTGAGGTAGATTACACAAAATTTGTAAAACTACAAAAAGGCAAAATCACATGCCCACAATTCAAATTCAACACAGTATCAGGCAAAGCCCAAGGAAAGTACATGTAATGATTAGAAATCTGAGTAACAGACTCAAAGTGCATAAATTATAAAACAGCAACTTTAAAAAATAATCAACAGTCGGTCACCCTCATTTCAAGACTAGTTCTAGTACCAATGAAGAAAACGGACAAATGTCTAGTAGCATATAAAATCACGACTAAGACAGAAATCCCTTCTCAAAAATCTAACAGACACACAGTGGTATACTTTACAGTAGTTTATTTAACATCCCAATAATAAGCCATATTTACATATTATATAAACGTATGAAATTTTATAAAACGCCTGGGCTAGAAGAACCACACTTCATGTGGAGCTACTTATTTACTTGTTTACAAAATTGTACAATTTATATAAATTATTTCCTTCCAAATTAGGTGACTTTAATAATCCACACAAATACTGATGACTTTACAAACAGGTGCACGTTAAAATCTTGGGCTAAAAATTACAACATTTTCCTGCGTAGAACTTGCTTCGGAAAGGAAGACAGCTTCTTTTTGCCCCTTCCAAGAGTTTTTCCTGCTACTTCTGTAGTTTTTCTTGGTTTGCTGATCTTTATTTCATCAACAGGGCTTGCCAAGGGAGAAATCAGCTTAATTTCTACAGGGGGAGGTGACCAAGAGCTTCCTTTCCCCGTGTTTCTGAAAGAGAGAGACACTCAAGTAGGAACAGGCACCACAGTGAGTCACTCTGGAGAACTGAAGGGGAAGGGACCAAAGCACAGCTGAGGGCTAATGGCAGGCAGGGTCAGTGTCACCTCCCACCCATCCCGTCTGTGCCCACATACTTAGTACATATGCATAGGAAACACTGCTGTGCTACAAGGATGGTCCAAGTACCTATGGTTTGCTCATGGGATGAGAGCCAGCAGGCCCACGGAGCTTATAAATTCCAAGACTCAGTAAGAAAGGCAGGAGGAGAGTAGAAGAGTTTGAGGTTGGCCTGGTTTACTTAGCAAGTTCCAATCTAGCCAAGGCTCTATGTTCTAAAGACCTAGTCTAAGGAAAAACACAAGGAATTCAGGGCTCGGCTTAGGTATGCAGTGCTGTATCACAAAAGGGGTGGGTGGGGCAATACTCCGAAACAGTAGCAGCTGCTGAGGATGTGTGTGTACCTTAGACACAGACAATTTACACAAGAGCACTATGCTTATTTATTAATTTGCATGTTTATTAAATTTAGCCATGCCTAAGTACAGCATGAACAGAATACCATGAAACAAAAATATCCCAATGAACTGATTTTACCACAGATGCAGTAACATTGCTAGTAGAGAAACAACTGCGGGACTTTCAAGTTATAATTCCTTATTAACGAAAAGGCAAAAACTATCTTCTCTCCCAGTCACCCCCAGTGGACAAAGAACCACCTTTAGGCCACCCCTCTCCACTCTGGAGAATGCTACCTTCAGCACTGGGCTCCTGGCCAACGTCAAGGAGCCAGCACCAGGTATGTCTGAGAAGCCCTCTTCCCAGCCAACAAGTGGAGAGGCTACAGAGCAGAGTGCTGCTTACCTGCTTGCTCTTGTCTTCACAGTCCTGCTTCTTTTTGCTTTTTGTTCTACGATTTCTAATGGTTTAGGGCCACTCTCCTATGGGTTAAAAATTAGAAAATATAAATTGCCTAAGCAATTAAAATTTTTCTGTTTTTGATTTTTGAGACAGGGTTTTTCTGTAACTGGCTGTCCTAGGACTTGCTTTGTAGACCAAGCTGGCCTCAAACTCAGAGACCGGCTTGCCTCTGCCTTCTGAGTGCTGGGATTAAAGGGGTGTGCCATCTAGTCTGATTTTAAAAGTATCCTGCCTGGCCAGATGGTGGTGGTGCACGCCTTTAACCCCGGAACCCGGGAGGCAGAGGCAGGCGAATCTCTGAGTTTGAGGCCAGCCTGGTCTACAGAGTGAATTCTAGGACAGCGAGGGCTTCAAAGAAACCTCCATAAAAAAAACCAAAAATAAAAAAAGTATCCTGCTCAGATAAGGAGTCAAGCATCACTAAAAACCCTAGGTCCTAGACAGAGCCCTCTGGCTCTTTAGAAGAACACTTGATGGTCTAGAACAGAATTGCTCTTTATTCCTCATTTCCACAACACACCCATTCTCCACGTCTTGTCACAGTTTCACTGTGTATGCTTCCACTGTCCACCACCCTGAGTTAATGCAGCTCAGCTCCAAGTCCAGGTTCTGGCCGTCTTGTAGGCACTAGGTCACCAGAGATGGGTTTCTTCCTTCCCAGAATACTTTCCACAGAAACTACCTGAAACCTACAAGTCTACTGAGTAGCCACCATCCTGCCATGCTTCTGAATCCCTGCAAGCTGTCGCTTTTCCTGCTAGAAAGGCCTCTCGCCTCTATCTCTATCTCTATATATGCAGAGGTATTTGGGCAGAATGACTTTATTCAACAAATGAATTACTTATTTTTGTCAATTAAACTGCATTTTAATCAACTTATCAGTTGAATTATTTTTGTTGCATAGTAACTGGCTCATGGAATATAATCTAACATATGCTTATGAACTGACATTTGTAAGTAAAAGTAACTGACATTTAGTATATGAACAATGTCCATCTTAAGGCTGTGTACAAGAGACTATGGACTTAATTCTGAAACTTTCTAAGGATGCTCTGTGAATGACACACCAATACCTTACATAATAAACACCCAGATAATTTTGATGGGATCTCACTATGCATCCCTGGCTGGCCTATAACTCAGCATGTAGAACAGGCTGGTGCTGAACTCAAGAGAGCTGCCCGTCTCTGACTTGAGCCCTGGAATTAGGGGTGCACATCATCATACTTGGCAACCATTTTAATTTTAAAACTGTCACTCTAATGGGTAACTGGAAAACTGCTGCTGTTATAAGCAACACACCACAGATCTGTCTTGAAGGTAGTAGATAGGAGTTTTGTACTCTTAATATAAATATAAATCTTTTGTCCCCCCCCAGGACAGAGTTTTTCTGTGTAGCCCTGGGTACCCTTGAACTCACAGAGATCCACCTTCCTCGGCCTTCCAAGTGCTGGGATTAAAGGCAGGTACCACCAGCACCGGTGCACATTATCTTTCTTTAGAAAAATTGTTTTATTTTGTGTCTTGAGTAATTTGTCTACATATGTGCCACATCCATGTCTCGTGCCCCAGGAAGCCAGGGAGCGGTGGATCCCTCAGAACTGGAGCTGGAGGTTGTGAGCTGGGAAATGAACCCAAGTCCCCTGCAAGAACAACTAGACGCTTAACTGCTGAGTCATCTCTCTGGCTCACATGCTATCTTTAAATAAATTTACTTTTCAACAAACTTACTTAGGAGAAATTCACTTAAAAATATTTGTAATCTCAGCACTCAGGAACCTGAGGCAACATCATGACTTCACCAATCTGCATTCCTTACCAGTTCATCTAGAAGCTTGGATGTGCTGGACACATTTTTCCGTCTGGTTCTCAAAGCAGGAGGGGAGACAACAAACTGAGATGATAGATCTGACACCAGTTCTTTCAGCTGGGCACTGGCCTCCATTTTTTCAGCTAAAGAAAAACAGGAAACAAAACCTTTACCTGTAACTATGTATGGTTTAAAACTACGACAATATAAAGGCATATTTATACTGCATCAAAAATCTTGAGACAAATGATACACACTAGAAAGACAAAACAATTCCAAACCAAGAAAACATAGCATATAAATTTATTACCCATGTCAGGAGATAGAAATGTTGGGGGAAAAAAATCCCATTATCAGGGGGATCTGTGGTCGGTACGTAAAATGAATAGAAAATTTCTTAATAATAAAAAAAATCCTACTATCATTTAAGTCAATCAAATGGTCTTGAATATTGTAGGCTTCAAACTAAATGATTGCCACTACAGAAAGGTGGGACTCCAGGCAGTACAAACTATTAGTCCTCAGTTTGATCCTTGGTGTTCCTCAGCTCTCTCAGGAAAGCATGAATCCCAGAATACAGTGTAAGTCTCAATTTCCACAGGAGGTTTGTATTACACAGTGAATTTTATTTGCAAGGAAGAGACTCAGGGGAGCAACAGAAAAGTTCACATCATAAAAGCAAAAAGGGGAGCTGACAATAGGCTGTGACACAGACGGAGACTAGTTTAAGAGCTGACTTGGGGGAGGGGCTCGACCCCTTTCTGAGCTCTTCAATGGTTAAGTTGATGGGGGAGGTGGAGATGTTCTTACCCAATGGTGCCACCATTGGTCAGGTGGTCATGCTCCTACAAACCACTCCCTAACCGAATCATACAAAATAAAAAAAAAAAAGTAAAACCAACAGGGAAACCAGCTGAGA